GTATTCGGTATTCGGCCGAATAGTGATTAAATATTCGGTATTCGGCCGAATAGCGAAAAATAGGCCGAATAGGCCGAATACCGAATAGTAACCGAATATTCGTTACATCACTAATTTAAATCAATTTTATTTTTTAAAAAGTTTATAAATAATTATAATTAAAATCGATATACTTTTATTGGAATTATATTAATAAATAAACGCTCTAATTTTTTAATTTATCATAGTAGATTTACTGATTTGCCTTTAATTTTATAAAGGAAGAAAGAACTCGATACATCAACTCTAAAATTTCCTTCATTACAAATATCAATGTAAAGACATTTAAGATTTATATTATCAATTAATTTACTATAGAATTTTATTAAAAAAAAAAATACTTACAACCAAAAGTCCACCCCCGAAATTGCCTTAAATCTGCTAAGAATCTCATACCAGTTTTCATACAGGAGGAAGACACATTTATTTTTTCAGATATCTCCAACATGTAATGGAGACTGAATTGAGAGATATATTTTGCTAAATTTTCGAAACTATTTTCTATTTTATCTATTACCCGGATAATTTGATCAGTTTTTGAAATTTCAGTTCGATTCTCAGAAAATATATCTTCAGTTACACAATTTCTTACGAGTGCCATTAAAATTGAAAAGTAGAAAAATGGGATTAATTTTAGAAACATGTTTCCGGAGCAAAATTTCCTTTGCATTGATCGAAAATGAAAGACTGGAATGAGATAAATCATGCAAAAAGTTCTTATAAAACGATCGTTTTATTTGTGGTTTGTGGCATTGCTCAACAAGTGAGTAACTGCAACCGGATGAAAGGTAATTCCACGTTCTGATCCCTCGTCACTTACAAACATAATTATAATTATAAATACTATATTCTGATTTTTTTTAATGTAAAATTTCGATTTTTATCTTAGAATTCAAACTAAATTATGCTGGCTTTTATAAGATTTAAATCTTTCTGAAAACCCGTCGTAAAAAGAGCCGTTCTAATTCCATAAGAGCAATGTCTCAAGTTGAAATAACGTTCTTATAATTAATAGTTTTTAACCGTAAACTAAACCTACAGCATATTATATGCGGCATTCCATACGATAAAAATAGAAATTTTATAACAGTTATAAAAAATGGGTTGATAAATCGAAAGTTGTATGGAGGGGTCTTCTACAATCCAGATGAAATATATTTTAAAAGTTGTGCTCACATATTCGAACTGTCCTTCATACTATCTCGTTTAATTTATTTAAAAGAAATTAAATGAAAATGAGATCAATTGAATCATTAACAATTGAGTCATTAACAGAGTTCTGTGATGACTCAACCGTTACAATCTTGCTATAAATGATAACAATCTTGGCCGAGACGGTTAAAAAGTCAGCGTACTGTTCTAGAATCAAATTCAGACCATATTTTCAAGGTAGTATGTCTCCGATACTTGGGGCACTCCTCACCTTTATTGTAGGGCCGGTCGAACATATGTATGAAAAATAATGCCCACTTAGTGACTAAAAAATGCAAGTATATATCTATACTTGAACTATAACAATGGTTTTAGTGTTGGATGTAGAAGAGAGTGTCTCTCAAACCCTCCTCGATGATTCATTCCTGTATTTAATAAAATTAATTATGTATTTTATAATTTATTATTAATAAATACATTTTAAATCTTAAGTTATAACGTAGTTTATATATATTATGTCACCCTTTGAATGAGAAATGTATGAATGAAGTTGACCTTGATGACATTATCCATACTACGTGAAGTAATTAATTGTGACACAATACTTTTGACATGTTTTATAATTAAATGTTGAACTGCTAATTTTATAAAATTATTTTAAAATATATTTTATTATTTAAACACTATTTTACGTATATTTGTAGAAGCGATTCAATATGCATTGACTATTATTAAGGACCATTGATCGAACTATACCTTAAGTAAAATCGAACTTTTAGAATTTTAATTCAAAATATGAAGAAAAACTATCGGGATATAATTTTAATATTATATTTAATTTAAAAAACACTTTATACAGATTAATATAGGTTCAATATATAATCTTATTGTAAAAACTTGTTAACATTTATAAAGATTAATTACTTTTCTGATTGAAAGTAATGATACTGAACACATTTATCGATAAGAATATAATTTTAAAAAAAGGAAATCGTGACAGGAAAACATATAATATAATGACATCAATTTACAGATAACATCCTAACAAATAAATGTCCTTGTCTTTTACTTGATCTTTCCGTGTAAACCTGTCTTACGTAAGCATTAAACAATGTTAACATCTAAAATATAAATTATACATGCATTTTTTACTTTCCCGGCTATGTTATGTATAACAGGGGGCATGAGGCGATCGATCAGAAAATGACCCCCAAGCTTTTTACGTTTTTAAACTTTGAAACGTCGTGAAATGCAAAAAATATCTAGGAATTTTTTGTATGTATGGATGTTAGTGTGTGGAGAGCACGATTTTGTTCACCGTCTTTGAATCTTAATAACTCCCGTACTTTTTGTCAAAAATTTCTGAAATTATGCGTGGTGGTTTGTTTATTATGGTGATTTATTCTATTAAATTTTAGTAGCTGAAGGTCGACGGGGTGGAGAGATAAAGTGAAGTCGTGCGTCATATCTCGAGTGTGGTCGAGCTTAATGAAGATTTTACTCGTTATTAGCATTTATAATTTGTTATAAAACCCATCTTTAGCATCAAAATTAAGCTTTTTGCTATTTTATAATAAATAATATATATACTACATATAAAAATTTTCATAAGTAATCATGACTTTTGTGCTTTTTTTCTAACCTATTGGTATATTATTGTGACATCGCCACAATGCGGAGCTGCAATTTATAATCAGCTTTTAACTTAAAAAGTTATATGACTTCCGGTTTAGACCGGAAGTTGATATATAGTTAATCGGGGACTCCTACTTCTATGATTAGTCTCCACTTTCATCTAACACCGATCTATAAATTCCCACTGTTGTCTGTCTGTCTATCATTCCTTAATTCCGAGAATGCAGTTATGTGGATGAAAGTTGAAACCAGATGTGGAAACCGAAGAGGCGGAAAGCCCCGATTAACTATATAGAATCTTCTGCACAAACCGAAAGTCACATTATTTCAATTCAAAACCTCATCCCTGAAAGGAATAAGTTAGATAACCAGCATGACTCTGTAGTTGAAAGAAAATTATAATGTACAGGGGCAATACGCTACTAGTTTAAGGTGGAGAGCATATATTTTAAATGAAATAAATTAAAAATATGATTAAAAATTGCAGCTCGGCATTATGATGAGGACAAATAAATAATTGCTTGTTATTACTTTATAATATACTGTGAATAAGAAAATTTTTCTGTGTGGGCATTTTTTTACCACAATTATTATTATTATTACTTTTTCATAAAGCAACGCGACACGTGGGCGATTTGATAAGGTGGAAAATGGCTCCTATTTACGTGTTACAAGTTACATGAAGAAAACCCGGAAAACTCCATGTCTGCAAGGTGCGAAACCACGAACACCAACGTTCAGTGGTTTTATCTATTTTCTATTCGTTGTGTCTATTCTGTAAAACATATTCTAGGCATTTGATAAAAATACGTATCAACTTATAACATTTATTTTAAAAAATTCCCCCCAAAAATATACTTCACTATGATGATAAAAAATATATTAAGATATAATTACTATATTACATATTTACATCAATATGAATTTTTTCAGTATGTTCATAAATTATTAATAATGTGTAAAATGTGACCTACACATTTAAAATGTAATATAAATATAAAGCGAAACTACATCTAATACACATCGAACTTTAAAATATTTTCAAATTTTCAAATTTCCGAATTGTTCGATACATTTTAAACCGAAAAGTAACATCTACTGTATTTCGATTTTTCTTTTTTTTATTGTAAGATTATTAATCACTTAAAAAACTTGTTGCTAGAAGTTTCACTTATTTATTAATGGGAAAAACAAAAAGGATCTCTTGTTGTTGGAATTTAATCTTTATATTCGTGGCCAAAATATTCTGCATTGTTTGGAGTGATGACAATTTAATTGAAAATTTAAAATATAATAATATACAGAAAACAATGTATAGAGACATATCAAAAAGGCAAGATAAGATAGAATATAGTGGATTTACTAAACAACAAGAAAATGAAATCTTGCAGTTGCATAATGAATACAGAAGTAAGACCATTCCTCCCGCAGCTGATATGTATGAACTGGTAAGTTAATTCTTTTTACCTCTACGTCTTTACTGTTTTACATATCTGTGTATATTGAATTCCTGCATCAAATAATATCACGTGCACAATAATACATCTTATAGAACAGAATTAAACTGTTCTGTAAGTTATACTAGAGTACAAAGCATAAATCGTTAGTACAGAAACACAAAGCTTCGTAAATTTTACGTTTATTTTATTAATTTTTTTTATGTTAGAATAATGGCTGACAGTAATATAAAGAATATATGATAACGAATACTAGTTTTGATACAATTTCAGACACTGAAATATTATTATTAAACTTATTTGCACATGTAATTAACACATTGATTTGCACGATATTCTTTTCTGTGTATGTGGTTGCATTGTATTGTCTGCAATATATATTGAAGACAATACAGTGTTGTGCATAAATTGCACACAATATGTTAATTAGGTATAACTGACGTTATAAGATTATATTTTATAGTATGAGATGTAACTGTGTATAAATTATTAAAAACATTATGAAGCAAATGCAGGATAGAGAACAATTAGAATGCTTAAGCAGGTTCATTAATTAATTTGAACACAATGTGAGTAGGTGTCTACGTTGTGTTAACTCCGTCGTTCTCACTTATATCGTCGACCCTGCGTGTAAGGTAGGAGTAAAACTCCTATACTTAAGTTCAACTGCAAATCTCAAGTTAGGACGTGAATAACATCTATCCTATATTTAAGTTCANAGACAGCATACAAAAATACAATAAACAAAAATTAAAATATTGTATAAGAAAAATCTACACTATTTTCTTTTGTATAAGCCGTGATGGCGTACACGGAATTTCTAGAATGAAAATATTAATAATACTTTACATTACAGTTGCATGGAGCCCATGAGAATTTGGATTAGGGGCCCCATGTACTGTACAGTCTTGACATCATGCATTTTTCTTTGGAAAAATTTTTTGGAGAAATATTTTCTCATAAAAGATTGGCTCGGGATCCACTGTTGGTGAAGCCCCAAGCAATTGTACTTTTTGCCCATAAGATGATGATGCACCACTGATAGTGAGCGGTAAACAAATCATAAGACGTATTGAACAACGGTCACTCTTCAGTAGACTGTTTTGAACAGTTCTCGTGCAGCAGTGGCACCCGGTGTCACTGCTGGCCGAATTTCCTCGGTGGCAGCTTGCGTATGTCTCAAACTTTTCTCCCTCCAATATCCAGGAAGCCCGGTTTCTGGTAGAAGTATCTTCTACACCATTGCTGACAACGGTTGAACACGGTGGGGACGTCTCTACCCATTCCTTCCACGCTCTCACGAAATAAAAATCTATCCTCACGTGGCCTCGTTCAAACTGGATTAATATGCACTTCGTTGTTGCTTTTGAGGCATTCTGTACAGTGTACTTAAAGTAACTACAGCATTTCACAGTGAAATTAACGATTATAAACACGTTCACACTCATCTGTTGAAAACTTCTAATTTGAACTTGCTGCGGCATTCTATACGCATCCTGCTACTTGTACCCTTGAAATCGGTATCAATGTAATAAATCATAGATAAATATTCTTTTTTAATTTTCGTTTAACTCCTTCTTGCTGTAGGGATTTCCATTGTGTATGATTCACAGGTCTGATTCAATTATGAGTCATTTATAAAATTAATAGTTTGCCCACAAAATATCATTATAAATCTCCAGATTTTTTAATTAAACCAATTAAGAATATGCGGGACTTTCCCTAATCTTGTAATTAATATTATATATCAATCACACCCTAATAATAACCACACAACCTTTTGGTAAATCCTTAAATTTNGTTAGGACGTGAATAACATCTATACTATATTTAAGTTCAACTGCAAATCTCAAGTTAGGACGTGAATAACATCTATACTATATTTAAGTTCAACTGCAAATCTCAAGTTAGGACGTGAATAACATCTATACTATATTTAAGTTCAACTGCAAATCTCAAGTTAGGACGTGAATAACATCTATACTATATTTAAGTTCAACTGCAAATCTCAAGTTAGGACGTGAATAACATCTATACTATATTTAAGTTCAACTGCAAATCTCAAGTTAGGACGTGAATAACATCTATACTATATTTAAGTTCAACTGCAAATCTCAAGTTAGGACGTGAATAACATCTATACTATATTTAAGTTCAACTGCAAATCTCAAGTTAGGACGTGAATAACATCTATACTATATTTAAGTTCAACTGCAAATCTCAAGTTAGGACGTGAATAACATCTATACTATATTTAAGTTCAACTGCAAATCTCAAGTTAGGACGTGAATAACATCTATACTATATTTAAGTTCAACTGCAAATCTCAAGTTAGGACGTGAATAACATCTATACTATATTTAAGTTCAACTGCAAATCTCAAGTTAGGACGTGAATAACATCTATACTATATTTAAGTTCAACTGCAAATCTCAAGTTAGGACGTGAATAACATCTATACTATATTTAAGTTCAACTGCAAATCTCAAGTTAGGACGTGAATAACATCTATACTATATTTAAGTTCAACTGCAAATCTCAAGTTAGGACGTGAATAACATCTATACTATATTTAAGTTCAACTGCAAATCTCAAGTTAGGACGTGAATAACATCTATACTATATTTAAGTTCAACTGCAAATCTCAAGTTAGGACGTGAATAACATCTATACTATATTTAAGTTCAACTGCAAATCTCAAGTTAGGACGTGAATAACATCTATACTATATTTAAGTTCAACTGCAAATCTCAAGTTAGGACGTGAATAACATCTATACTATATTTAAGTTCAACTGCAAATCTCAAGTTAGGACGTGAATAACATCTATACTATATTTAAGTTCAACTGCAAATCTCAAGTTAGGACGTGAATAACATCTATACTATATTTAAGTTCAACTGCAAATCTCAAGTTAGGACGTGAATAACATCTATACTATATTTAAGTTCAACTGCAAATCTCAAGTTAGGACGTGAATAACATCTATACTATATTTAAGTTCAACTGCAAATCTCAAGTTAGGACGTGAATAACATCTATACTATATTTAAGTTCAACTGCAAATCTCAAGTTAGGACGTGAATAACATCTATACTATATTTAAGTTCAACTGCAAATCTCAAGTTAGGACGTGAATAACATCTATACTATATTTAAGTTCAACTGCAAATCTCAAGTTAGGACGTGAATAACATCTATACTATATTTAAGTTCAACTGCAAATCTCAAGTTAGGACGTGAATAACATCTATACTATATTTAAGTTCAACTGCAAATCTCAAGTTAGGACGTGAATAACATCTATACTATATTTAAGTTCAACTGCAAATCTCAAGTTAGGACGTGAATAACATCTATACTATATTTAAGTTCAACTGCAAATCTCAAGTTAGGACGTGAATAACATCTATACTATATTTAAGTTCAACTGCAAATCTCAAGTTAGGACGTGAATAACATCTATACTATATTTAAGTTCAACTGCAAATCTCAAGTTAGGACGTGAATAACATCTATACTATATTTAAGTTCAACTGCAAATCTCAAGTTAGGACGTGAATAACATCTATACTATATTTAAGTTCAACTGCAAATCTCAAGTTAGGACGTGAATAACATCTATACTATATTTAAGTTCAACTGCAAATCTCAAGTTAGGACGTGAATAACATCTATACTATATTTAAGTTCAACTGCAAATCTCAAGTTAGGACGTGAATAACATCTATACTATATTTAAGTTCAACTGCAAATCTCAAGTTAGGACGTGAATAACATCTATACTATATTTAAGTTCAACTGCAAATCTCAAGTTAGGACGTGAATAACATCTATACTATATTTAAGTTCAACTGCAAATCTCAAGTTAGGACGTGAATAACATCTATACTATATTTAAGTTCAACTGCAAATCTCAAGTTAGGACGTGAATAACATCTATACTATATTTAAGTTCAACTGCAAATCTCAAGTTAGGACGTGAATAACATCTATACTATATTTAAGTTCAACTGCAAATCTCAAGTTAGGACGTGAATAACATCTATACTATATTTAAGTTCAACTGCAAATCTCAAGTTAGGACGTGAATAACATCTATACTATATTTAAGTTCAACTGCAAATCTCAAGTTAGGACGTGAATAACATCTATACTATATTTAAGTTCAACTGCAAATCTCAAGTTAGGACGTGAATAACATCTATACTATATTTAAGTTCAACTGCAAATCTCAAGTTAGGACGTGAATAACATCTATACTATATTTAAGTTCAACTGCAAATCTCAAGTTAGGACGTGAATAACATCTATACTATATTTAAGTTCAACTGCAAATCTCAAGTTAGGACGTGAATAACATCTATACTATATTTAAGTTCAACTGCAAATCTCAAGTTAGGACGTGAATAACATCTATACTATATTTAAGTTCAACTGCAAATCTCAAGTTAGGACGTGAATAACATCTATACTATATTTAAGTTCAACTGCAAATCTCAAGTTAGGACGTGAATAACATCTATACTATATTTAAGTTCAACTGCAAATCTCAAGTTAGGACGTGAATAACATCTATACTATATTTAAGTTCAACTGCAAATCTCAAGTTAGGACGTGAATAACATCTATACTATATTTAAGTTCAACTGCAAATCTCAAGTTAGGACGTGAATAACATCTATACTATATTTAAGTTCAACTGCAAATCTCAAGTTAGGACGTGAATAACATCTATACTATATTTAAGTTCAACTGCAAATCTCAAGTTAGGACGTGAATAACATCTATACTATATTTAAGTTCAACTGCAAATCTCAAGTTAGGACGTGAATAACATCTATACTATATTTAAGTTCAACTGCAAATCTCAAGTTAGGACGTGAATAACATCTATACTATATTTAAGTTCAACTGCAAATCTCAAGTTAGGACGTGAATAACATCTATACTATATTTAAGTTCAACTGCAAATCTCAAGTTAGGACGTGAATAACATCTATACTATATTTAAGTTCAACTGCAAATCTCAAGTTAGGACGTGAATAACATCTATACTATATTTAAGTTCAACTGCAAATCTCAAGTTAGGACGTGAATAACATCTATACTATATTTAAGTTCAACTGCAAATCTCAAGTTAGGACGTGAATAACATCTATACTATATTTAAGTTCAACTGCAAATCTCAAGTTAGGACGTGAATAACATCTATACTATATTTAAGTTCAACTGCAAATCTCAAGTTAGGACGTGAATAACATCTATACTATATTTAAGTTCAACTGCAAATCTCAAGTTAGGACGTGAATAACATCTATACTATATTTAAGTTCAACTGCAAATCTCAAGTTAGGACGTGAATAACATCTATACTATATTTAAGTTCAACTGCAAATCTCAAGTTAGGACGTGAATAACATCTATACTATATTTAAGTTCAACTGCAAATCTCAAGTTAGGACGTGAATAACATCTATACTATATTTAAGTTCAACTGCAAATCTCAAGTTAGGACGTGAATAACATCTATACTATATTTAAGTTCAACTGCAAATCTCAAGTTAGGACGTGAATAACATCTATACTATATTTAAGTTCAACTGCAAATCTCAAGTTAGGACGTGAATAACATCTATACTATATTTAAGTTCAACTGCAAATCTCAAGTTAGGACGTGAATAACATCTATACTATATTTAAGTTCAACTGCAAATCTCAAGTTAGGACGTGAATAACATCTATACTATATTTAAGTTCAACTGCAAATCTCAAGTTAGGACGTGAATAACATCTATACTATATTTAAGTTCAACTGCAAATCTCAAGTTAGGACGTGAATAACATCTATACTATATTTAAGTTCAACTGCAAATCTCAAGTTAGGACGTGAATAACATCTATACTATATTTAAGTTCAACTGCAAATCTCAAGTTAGGACGTGAATAACATCTATACTATATTTAAGTTCAACTGCAAATCTCAAGTTAGGACGTGAATAACATCTATACTATATTTAAGTTCAACTGCAAATCTCAAGTTAGGACGTGAATAACATCTATACTATATTTAAGTTCAACTGCAAATCTCAAGTTAGGACGTGAATAACATCTATACTATATTTAAGTTCAACTGCAAATCTCAAGTTAGGACGTGAATAACATCTATACTATATTTAAGTTCAACTGCAAATCTCAAGTTAGGACGTGAATAACATCTATACTATATTTAAGTTCAACTGCAAATCTCAAGTTAGGACGTGAATAACATCTATACTATATTTAAGTTCAACTGCAAATCTCAAGTTAGGACGTGAATAACATCTATACTATATTTAAGTTCAACTGCAAATCTCAAGTTAGGACGTGAATAACATCTATACTATATTTAAGTTCAACTGCAAATCTCAAGTTAGGACGTGAATAACATCTATACTATATTTAAGTTCAACTGCAAATCTCAAGTTAGGACGTGAATAACATCTATACTATATTTAAGTTCAACTGCAAATCTCAAGTTAGGACGTGAATAACATCTATACTATATTTAAGTTCAACTGCAAATCTCAAGTTAGGACGTGAATAACATCTATACTATATTTAAGTTCAACTGCAAATCTCAAGTTAGGACGTGAATAACATCTATACTATATTTAAGTTCAACTGCAAATCTCAAGTTAGGACGTGAATAACATCTATACTATATTTAAGTTCAACTGCAAATCTCAAGTTAGGACGTGAATAACATCTATACTATATTTAAGTTCAACTGCAAATCTCAAGTTAGGACGTGAATAACATCTATACTATATTTAAGTTCAACTGCAAATCTCAAGTTAGGACGTGAATAACATCTATACTATATTTAAGTTCAACTGCAAATCTCAAGTTAGGACGTGAATAACATCTATACTATATTTAAGTTCAACTGCAAATCTCAAGTTAGGACGTGAATAACATCTATACTATATTTAAGTTCAACTGCAAATCTCAAGTTAGGACGTGAATAACATCTATACTATATTTAAGTTCAACTGCAAATCTCAAGTTAGGACGTGAATAACATCTATACTATATTTAAGTTCAACTGCAAATCTCAAGTTAGGACGTGAATAACATCTATACTATATTTAAGTTCAACTGCAAATCTCAAGTTAGGACGTGAATAACATCTATACTATATTTAAGTTCAACTGCAAATCTCAAGTTAGGACGTGAATAACATCTATACTATATTTAAGTTCAACTGCAAATCTCAAGTTAGGACGTGAATAACATCTATACTATATTTAAGTTCAACTGCAAATCTCAAGTTAGGACGTGAATAACATCTATACTATATTTAAGTTCAACTGCAAATCTCAAGTTAGGACGTGAATAACATCTATACTATATTTAAGTTCAACTGCAAATCTCAAGTTAGGACGTGAATAACATCTATACTATATTTAAGTTCAACTGCAAATCTCAAGTTAGGACGTGAATAACATCTATACTATATTTAAGTTCAACTGCAAATCTCAAGTTAGGACGTGAATAACATCTATACTATATTTAAGTTCAACTGCAAATCTCAAGTTAGGACGTGAATAACATCTATACTATATTTAAGTTCAACTGCAAATCTCAAGTTAGGACGTGAATAACATCTATACTATATTTAAGTTCAACTGCAAATCTCAAGTTAGGACGTGAATAACATCTATACTATATTTAAGTTCAACTGCAAATCTCAAGTTAGGACGTGAATAACATCTATACTATATTTAAGTTCAACTGCAAATCTCAAGTTAGGACGTGAATAACATCTATACTATATTTAAGTTCAACTGCAAATCTCAAGTTAGGACGTGAATAACATCTATACTATATTTAAGTTCAACTGCAAATCTCAAGTTAGGACGTGAATAACATCTATACTATATTTAAGTTCAACTGCAAATCTCAAGTTAGGACGTGAATAACATCTATACTATATTTAAGTTCAACTGCAAATCTCAAGTTAGGACGTGAATAACATCTATACTATATTTAAGTTCAACTGCAAATCTCAAGTTAGGACGTGAATAACATCTATACTATATTTAAGTTCAACTGCAAATCTCAAGTTAGGACGTGAATAACATCTATCCTATATTTAAGTTCAACTGCAAATCTCAAGTTAGGACGTGAATAACATCTATCCTAATTAGTATCAGGTTCCTGACTTATCGGACAGAGAGATTTTGCTGATCTTTCTTGTCTACCATAATTAAATCAAGCTGTGGTGACTAAATTTCTGGGAAATAATCACGAATTTCTAGTGTCAGAGCTAATGGTGTTACCATACGTCATATCATATTTCGACATATTTCCACACAAATTAAGTGATGCGACCGATTAACAGGGGAAACATCAGACCAAAGTTAAATTTCACTATAAAATTACGTTTGCTTACTTATAGAGTTCTGCATAAAGACGGTTTTTCTGCAATCTACATCATAAAATCGAACGTATAATAAATGTATTGTATTAAATGATTATAAAACAATTTTTGCAGAAATGGAGTGAAGAACTTGCCAAACTGGCTAAAGATTGGGCCGATAAATGTCTTTTAATGCAAGGTCCCAGAAAATGTCTACCAATGATAAGTCAGAATATATATAATGGCCTCGAAGGATATAAAGAAGCTTTAAGTGATTGGTATGATGAAGTAAGAGGATATAGTTATGAATATAATGTTTGTCGAAATATACCGTGTTTACACTATAAAACAGTAAGAAATAAACATCCTACATAAATATTCATTTTTATAAAGTTTAATTTAACATCAATGCATAAAATTATTTCTATACAGATGATATGGGCTACAATATTTGCCGTAGGATGTTCAACAGCTGATTGCATTGATTCTAAAAACAGCACGATGATTGTTTGTAATTACTATCCTAAGTAAGTCTGCTAATTTTATGTTAAAAAATCTTGAAATTACATAAAAATATTCATTTCTTATTATATTTTTCAATTATTTCATAATGAAATTTCATGTATGACTATGTATTGCGATTTCCTTTCCTTTAATATTAGTGTTATAACTATTAAATTAAATCTAGGTTTAAAATTTCTCAGTAATAGTTTATCGAGGGATATTAATAAACGTACCCATATTCAATGCTATCTATAGAAATATTTAGCAGTACAAATGCAACTAACTTTGTTCTATTGTAATTACAGTAGACTCCCTATAACACGGTAGATACGTTCCGTGTTTTATGAAAGTCATGTTGTACGAGTCCTTAAATACATGAGCCAATCACAGCCCGGCACGTATGCAGTTTACGGACTACGGATGTTTGAAAGGTTTTCCTCCATAAAATTAATCGATTCTAGATTAATTCGACTCAACATTTCCAAAATACGTATAATTTTTTGGGAATAATTCATATAAACTATGCTATAAACAAATAACTGTAGGATTACTTACCGAGTGTGCACCGTTCGAAGACGCCATTGCGTAAGTTTGTTTTCGTCGTGGAGCTGCGCATCGAACAGCGGGCGCGTGTTTCCTGATAAATTATCTTTCTGCGAAAAATTTGCTGAACTTTGGAGACATCATTAATATAAATATAATTTTTATGGCCGTTAAATAATAAATGGTTTTAGTAGGTCCGCTGCTCGTTTAAACTCAACGGTTTGTGCAATATCCGCTATTGGTCTAGATTCAATCCTGTCGCGACACGAGTCGGCGATGACGTTTTACCGTATCATACCAGTCTCTTTTAGTGTGTTTATACGAATACGATCGCAATTTTTTCGCCGTTATATACGAATCCGTATTTTATGAACCCGTTATATAGGGAGTCTACTGTAAATGATTATGAAACAAATGTTGCTGAAATGAAGTAAAAAACTTGCTAAATTGGCTAAAGATTGGGCCGAAAAATGTCTTTTACTGTGATATTTCTGGTACACAGGAGCCATCTCTATCAAAACAAATTAGTACTGTAACTCTCCACTGTGAAACTTTTGGCGTTGCAAGCAACAAAAGATAAATATTTGGCGATGGCATTAGGATCTTATACAAATAAAATGTTTATTGCTTGCAGTGCCAAAAGTGCCACAGTGGTTAGTTTTATTACTAATGTTTCTTATGTTGATGTCTTCCTCATGTTCTGAAATGTCACCATACCATATGTAATCGCATCTGGATAGCTAAATTTCTCTGTAAACAGAGTTTAATAGGGGTACTTAAAAATTCATAGAAAACTAACGAATTCGATTTTCAAAATTCTGAACCGTATATCAGTAGAATTAAATAAGATTCTAACGCAAGAAACTGTTTGCTCTAACTGCTTACGTTTTCCAGAATTTTTGGTAAAAGATTTCCAATAGAAAAAACATTACATTTTTATCTTTATCTGCTGGAGATCGCGTGCCGAAGAGGTTACAATCAGCCTTAAAAAATAATTCAAAGAAGTTAAAAAATTTGAATTCGTTTAAAAATTAAAGTTATAATTAAACAATTTAAGCAATAACGTTCTATTTTATGTCAGAGTTTTTACTTTGTTAGAGGAAATTGGAAAGGAAAGCCATACGAGGAAGGAAACAGATGCTCCAAATGTCTATCAGGTTGTTCTTCGTCAGGAGCATTGTGCGGTTTGTATATTTTATTTAAAGATATTTTATTAAAAACTTAACTGTAATTAAGGTGAATACTGTATTTTCATTTTCTAGACAGCATCAGTAGAATAATATCAAATGAAATATTTGATTCCTGTAGTAGTAAGTATCGAAAAACTCGCAGAAATTCTGTGCAATTATGTTAATTTTTTAAAATTAATTCCAGCTGGCTCCAGATATCTTAATGATATACTGACGACATCCATCATTACTACAGGATATATATTTGTGATATTAACGTAATAGCTGCATACTATACTGCTCTATATTAAAAGTTTAAATTTTCTTAATTGTTTGTATAAATTAATACAGACGGTTTAATTAAAGAATAGAAAACATAACCAAGAATTTTTCATTTCGTGGCATTATTAAAGGCACCCGAATATAATTGACAGGTTTAAATTAATTACTTTACAGTTGTTAACTTAAACTAGAAATGGCGATCTAACCATTCCTCTTGCCAAATCATGTAGTAATTACTTAGACTTAATAGTCAGATAAAAAATCTACTGTTCAGAAATTTTTAATTATTAAAATATTATATTAAAATCTAGTTTTTTATGGATTAAATGTATTAATTTTACATATGAAAATCTAGTCACTTTAGGCATTATGAATGGGAGCATACAGAAATTAATGTTTCAATTAATCAATATTGAAGGCCGGATAGCCGAGCAGTTAGGGTGGCAGCCTTCCGCTCTAAGGGATCCGAGATAGAATTCGGACGGGTCGACAAACACCAGGAAAATTTTCGGGGGTCGATCTGTCCAGATATGTCGAGTCCTGTCTCTCAGTACCCGGCACCCTATTGTGATCTAGCCGAACCAATAATGGGCTTGCTGTAAAAGGCTCTCTTAACTCCCACAGGGGAGAAGAAGTTAAGAAAAATCCATCAATATTGAATACTTGCTGTAACGACTACCTTTGGTCAGTTGTCGATTGACAACAAATTTTCCTTCAAGTCTTTTTAAATTTTTTATCAGTTATTGTTGTACTATTTACTTGTTAGTAGTAACGAGTCCAGGGACCTGGATTTATGTTTGAAATGCCTTATCGTATATCAAATTATTTTTTCTGTTTTGGCATGTCCGTGTTGAACAGGTTTTAGTGTTTTTTTTTTTGTTTTTATTTATGAACTGCTCCAGAAAAATGTCTCACAGTTACATTCATTTTTATAGTAAAATGACTATGTCATACGAAAAAACTTTTACTATTAAGTTTAATCTAAATTAATCCAAATCGATTTAAACTAAACATGGGAGTATAATTAATTTTTTTCTTAGAATTATTTGAAAACATTATAATTTCATTTAAAGAAAACACATTATTGTTTATTATTACTTTATTCACAAAAATAGGAGTTAATTCTCACATAGATTAGTGTGACAAACATTATACTTTAATAATTTAATGACAATTATGTTTTCATTAGAAAGTTGTTAAATTATTTTTATTTGTTAACTAGTTTGTTATAATCATAAAATTATTTATTGTAAAGTTATTTAAATGTATAAGAATATTCAGTTTACATACATCATTATATTAATTTATCACTAAGTGACAAGTACCCGAAACGAACCGTTTCATATGAAACGAATTATGCTATTAGTTTGCTTACTTATCTGCTTTTTATTTAGAAGGTAAGCACCCATAAGATTCAAAAACATGTAAAAATTAATAAATTTAAAAATATTTTACATATATAAAGATGATTTAAGCCTTTCGTGAGCAATAAGAACTACGAAAATTATTAAACCAAATATGATGGGTCGACTGAGTAGAGTGACAATGGTGCAAAATTTACAGATATAAGCCACCTATGAAAAGGTCCGAGTCACTAAATCGGACTTAAACTAAGGCATGGAGAGTAGCAATCAAATTCTTTCCTCCTCGAACATACAGCTTTCCCACAGCTACACAGTAGATATTTTACATTTAATAATTCTTTCTGTTCTGTATTAAGAGAGCCTTATTCCATGTCCATCATGGGATTGGCCAAGCGCTCAATGAGGCGGCAGGTAGGGACCTCCTGATCCCGATCTATCCGGGACAGACCATCACCTTACAAAATTCCTGGGGGTTGTTTGCTCAGATTCGAACGCGGGCTCCCAGAGCGAAAAGCTGACGTCTTAACTACATTTACCATCTAACCATCAATGACAAGTATTCAATTATTTTTTAGTTAATTACACAACTATAAATTTATATAGAAGTATCAATAATAAGTTTTAGATCGGTAATTCAAGGTTTTTGATTTTAAAATGTAAACTAGAGTAAACTACAAGCAAATTCGTCAGCTTGCCACTTTCGGATCTAATTCGGGCAAAGAACCCCATGTATTTTTCTCGGATGCTCTGTCCCGGACACTTCGGTCTTCGTGTCTCTTCACACTGTGATTCACCCCTTTATGGGCCTGGCCAAATACACAGTAGGCCTTTTTTGATGCTTTTTGCCCTGTGGGGTTTTAATGCCGACTGTGCAGGCAGAGAACCCACAGAACCCACAGAGAAAGGTTATCGCGAATTCGGCCTGGCCAGTAATGGGCGAATCTGGGTAGCGAGGGATTGAGCATGACATATCCGAAACGGACCACACCTCAAAAAATTCCTGAGGTTTTTGTCCCGTCCGGATTTTTTTCCGGATCTCCCAGAGCAGTAGGTTGACCTCATTTTTAAGTTCTTAACTGCTACGGCAATCCCTACACACAAGAGAAAAAGAAACAAAAGATAAACATCTTAATTCCTTACAGCTTGTTCCTAAATACACTTTTTCTTTCACTCAATACTCAATATGCAATTCAATCAAAATGTGGTTTAGAATATTCAGAAAAAAATAAAATAGCAAAGTGAAAGAACAAAAATTTATAAATATACTTTAAGAAACTAGAAAGAATACGATTACAAGAAGCAAGCTTAAAGCCTAAAAAAATACTCTTAAATCGGAAAAATTTCACATCTCTAGTTTATAAAGTTGAAATACGTTGTTTTGAAAAGTCAGAAGTCTGCAATGTGTTTAAGACATTAACATTTTAAATTAATTACTTATCGTTAAATACATTTGATGTTTTCTATTTGATATCCATTATTTCATTTTATTTAACGTCCCGGTATTTGTGGAATGTCTGGAATGGCTGGAAGTTTTGGAGCTTCTAGACCTTTTCTCTCGATGCATACAATTTTTAATCCTAAATCATTGTTAGCAAGGTTAATTCCCTTTATAACGTGTCTCTCCTCACATCCTACAGATTCGCCAACGACACTACCATCTTTCATTCCGTCAGAATCACTTTTCAAGCTATCTAATTTTTGGCATTCCACTTTTAACTCTTTTATAGTAAATTTACCATCTTTATTATTAACGAAACACATAGTCATACCTTCAAATAAAAGAAGAAATATGATGTATAATATTTTTTAAAATGTGTTATAAATATTAATTAATAATAAACTAAAAGTTACTTTGTATGTGTTCTTGAGCATCGCAACTTATAGCATCTTCACCTTCGTTAAGAACTTTATTATAAGGTGGAGGTTTGTCATCATCACCTATAGACCATTCTGGAGCTTTATCGCATACCGCGTTGAACATTTCTGCTCTGAAAGTCATATTTCATTAAAGTTAATTTTAGAAAATATTAGATACCTCGGTTTTAATATTAAGAAATTATATAATTGACATATACTCGATTTGCAATCCTGAGAGCTTTCCATCAGGGCATTGTATTTCCTTGGGTATGCATGGTACTTCTGTAGTTGTGGTTGGTTTCAAAGTAGTGGTGGTTGTTGTAGGAGCTATTGTTGTCGTAGTTGTAGTGGGTGCTTTAGTTGTTGTAGTTGTTGTAGGTTCTCGAGTTGTTGTAGTAGTGGGTGCTTCAGTTGTTGTAGTGGTTGTAGGAGCTTGTGTTGTAGTAGTGGTTGTGGGAGCCTGTGTCGTTGTGGTAGTTGTTGGAGCTTGTGTCGTAGTCGTGGGCGCCTGTGTCGTTGTAGTAGTCGTGGGCGCCTTTGTCGTAGTAGTAGTCGTGGGCGCCTGTGTTGTTGTAGTGGTCGTGGGCGCCTGAGTTGTAGTAGTGGTCGTGGGCGCCTGTGTTGTTGTAGTAGTTGTTGGAGCTTGTGTGGTAGTGGTAGTTGTTGGAGCTTGTGTCGTTGTTGTAGTCGTCGGAGCTTGTGTCGTTGTTGTAGTCGTCGGAGCTTGTGTCGTTGTTGTAGTCGTCGGAGCTTGTGTCGTTGTAGTAGTCGTGGGCGCCTGTGTCGTTGTAGTGGTCGTGGGCGCCTGTGTTGTTGTAGTGGTCGTGGGCGCTTCTGTTGTAGTAGTGGTCGTGGGCGCTTCTGTTGTAGTAGTGGTCGTGGGCGCCTGTGTCGTTGTAGTAGTTGTTGGCGCTTGTGTCGTTGTTGTAGTCGTCGGAGCTTGTGTGGTTGTAGTCGTGGGCGCCTGTGTCGTTGTAGTAGTTGTTGGAGCTTGTGTCGTAGGGGTAGTCGTCGGAGCTTGTGTGGTTGTTGTCGTGGGAGCCTGTGTTGTTGTAGTAGTCGTCGGAGCTTGTGTTGTTGTCGTGGTTGTGGGTACCTGTGTTGTAGTAGTAGTAGTCGTAGGCACTTCTGTTGTAGTAGTAGTTGTGGGCGCCTGTGTCGTTGTAGTAGTTGTTGGTGCTTCTGTGGTAGTAGTTGTCGGAATCTCTGTTGTAGTGGTTGTTGCTTTGGAAGTAGTTGTAGTTGGAAGTGCTGTAGTACTCGTAGTTGCATCTAAATAAACGGAGTATGTTCGTTAAATCTCATATGTACAAATTTACCAACTAAATGAAACTTAACTTTAATTAACAGAATATATTAATTACAAAACTCAGACATTTTAAAAAAACAACAACAAGACAACAAATAATAATTTCTTTGATATTCTAGCATTATTTACTCTACTTATTCCATATTAAAATTAACATCCTACAAACTAATATAAGTTGATCTAATTTAATCTAAAATATTAGACACATAAATTTATAAAATTAAAACTAGCTGGGTATCCGTCTTGACTGGGGGAAAATGATATATTTAGTAAAAGTAATATACTCATATAAAAATACGCATAAAAATGTATAATTGAGAAGGATTAAGCCATTTTCAAGTAATACACAAACAGATAAACAGTCAAATTAAAATTCGGAAGTAGCCTATATACTTCCCAGGACTATCCTGAATTTATGTACGAAGTTTTATACAAATCGGTTCAGCCGTTATTACGTAATACTCGATCAAACGGACAAGCAAAGACAGATGTGAATTCAATTATATACATGTATACCGGTGTATAGATTAATGTTAAAATGCCATTTTTGACTTAAAAAAATAGTAAATCAATACAGTTCTCTATAATTTAACATAAGTAGTACCATATCTTGTTGGCTATTACAAGTGAATCAATCCTTAATGGACAAAATTGAAAATCTTTCAAATAAACTTAATGTGTTGTACAGGATTGTACTTAGGAGCTTTAAAAGAGTGGGGTTTAGGTAGATTGTATAAAGCATAGGGAATCTTGGGTGGCTCCTGTTTAGCTGCTTAAACACACAAAAAAATTAATATTCAGTTTGGCACCTTCAATATTCGATGGTTATATTTATTCTGCCAATGGTAGGCCTTGGAAACTGAAGAATATTTCTTACCAGGATAAGTAATTTTAACTTTACAGTGTAGGATAGAAAAATACTTGCTTATTTTCAATATATTTCAAGTTAATCTTCTTACCTGTAGTAGTTGTTGTTGGTTGAACTGTTGTCGTCGTCGTAGTCGGCTTTGAAGTCGTTGTAGTCGTTGGTTCTTCTTGAAGCTTTTATTACAAAACAAATATTCTATTACTAAGCGTTATTTTTATAAATAAGAATAATAAGTCAGAATATACATACTCTATAATATTTTAATCCATCTTTAGAGAGGCAGTCTGGACATTTATCCGTATTTTGTAAAGACAACAGGATGCAATCAGCATCATTCGGATGATAAGCGAAACCGCTGCATTCGTCTTTGTCGCTACATTTAGCTGCACATTGGATTTTAGAACCAACTGAAGAGTTTTCTAAAGCATAAAACTCATCACTTTCTTTTACCAATTTATAAAGTACAGACTGAGATGAGATCCCATTAAACAGAAATATCATTTGAAAAATGATAAATCTGGCCATCTTCCTCTGAAGTCCTTCTACTTGTGAATTATGACTAAATGTTAAACATCGTATAATTAATTATCATCGATTGCCAACTTAATTACTTTTTATTCGGCACGCAAAATATTCATGAATATATAAGTTAGTTACTGAATAATTGAAATTAATAAAGTCACGAATTTAAAGTTTGTAAATTAAGCTTTCGTTTTTCAAAAATATGTCACTTTTACTGCTCATGCAGTCTTAACTGCAACAATAAATAAACTATAAATCTCCAAATTATTTAAATGTTATATTGGATTAGTTCGGGACAGGTCGAAAAAACCCCAGGAATTTCTGGATATTTCGAACACTGCCCATCACCATTCGGCCATTTCGTGCGGACCTGGCTAAATCTATAATAATCGTGCTAAAAAAAAGTCTTTTAGTGCCCACAAGGAACCAAGAGGGCCTTTAGAAAAGTTTAAAAAAACAACCCGACGTCCCAATGGTTAAATTCAACTCCGGCATGTACCGAAAAATGGAAGTAGTATCTTATCCCCATGCCCATTAAAATCTAATTTTAAATATTAGTTATCAATGATTGGCGATCTCAGCGTCATTAACTTCTGAATCGGCAGTCTCGTCGTTGATTTGCGAGATGTCGACTTTCTTTAATTAACACAGGAAGTATAGGGAGTTGGCCTTCTTCCTTCTTTAACATAAAAATTTAGAGATAAGGGGCATGTTCGGCAACCGAGTTATCGTACTGGACAAATATGAGTTGAAAATTTTGTTCGTGAACCGAATTGTTCGAAAAATGTGTCATACAAAAACATGTAATATATATTAATAATATAACAATTGTAAAATTTAAAATTATGTTAAAAAGTTTACAAAAAAAGTAACATTTTTTTTCAAATCGGTCATCTGTTCTAAACTTCCTCTCATCTGGCAACACTTTACCCGCACTAGAAGATTCGCACGTGTGGAGGCCATTTAGAGAATGGATCTGTCCTCCTCAGGGGACGTTGCGAGTGTAGAAGTTCGAGAAATTGGCGGTTCTAAGGTGAATTTTATCGTATCAATTCGCTTTTAATATCGTAATTTAAAAACACGCGTTACGAATTTAACCATCGCGTGATTATTTATTGTAAATATACGTTTCTAGCGCTTAGATTTCTTTTTTTCACCGCATGTTTTGAGAGTTTTAAGAATTATCTCTTTCGCTATCGTTAAAATAATTGAAATTTTATAAATCTTCGCTTTATTACCACGTAAATAACTCGAAATTATTAATTATATTCGCGTAATTTAATTAATAATCTCATGGATGTTGGCTTTCATTGATTATTTTTTCATTCAAATTGATTATTTTATGATGAATGTCGGAAATTTTGGATAAATTCTTGTCATTTTTCGCTAGATCTCGCATTACAGCAAATTATTCTCGGTATTTTTGCTAAAAATTATGTTTTTTCATGCTATAAAACGTTCTGATAAAGAGAGAATAAGATGAAGGCTCATTGATTTCTCAAGCATCTACTAAATTTCATTAATATCGAGCGAATTTTTTTCAGTGCATTTTAATGTCTGTATTTTTAATGTATTCTGCATCATCTATGTAGAAATTTCATTTTTAGTAAGAATACTCTTTGGTGAAATGAAATAAAACAGAAGAAGGAAAAAAAAAAAAAAATGTACTTAAAGAAGATTGCTAATAAAGAAATTTATCTCTAAATTATTTATTTTGTTTGTGAATTACGAAATTAAATATAAATTCAAAATTATGTTGAATTATTGATTCAGTTGTAAGGTTATATAAGTCAAATAAAACTTGCGCAAAATTATATTTTTAAGACTGCACCTGGAAATTCATTAAAAAGTAGGAAAATTCTCATCAATTAAATAACAGATTTCCCATTAAATATTTGTTACAGTTGCATTTTTATTTTATTTTCGCTTATATAGAATTTATTGTTATTTTTCTGATATAGATTAAAAATTTGTAAGTGTTTTTATTTAATTTTTTTAATTACAGTTGTCCCTTGATAATCCAACAGGTATGGGACCAAAGGTATGTCAGATTACCAAAAGTGTCCGGATTACCGAAAATAATTACATATTTCGCATTGTTTCGCTAGCAGTAACTTACAATATTCTCTACTCCAACTGTTCGAACAGAACTGCTCACATAAAACACACGAAATGTGTGTCATCGTGTAAAAATTGGATGGGGAAATTTACATCGTGACATGCTTCTGTGCAAGCAGACACGTAACGGGGACGTGTACCTTGACGGGAGGTGCGTCGGACTACTGAGCATGTCAGATTAAAAAACGTCGGACTATAGAGGGACAACTGTACTCAAATATTTGACCTGTGATTTGGTATTACTAACTTTTGACTTTGGTTTTGACCCATTTCCAAAAAGGTTTGCTGTTGCTTGCCTAGATGTTCCCTCATTCTTTTTACATGATAGTCATTGTTATATAAAAAAAATATGGCTCCAAGTTACGTAAAAATCAACATATGCCTAGGGTTGTGGAATGATTTCCTTGTCACATACTTCCTACATTTTATTGCTATTATCCATTTCCATACCTTGCTGCTAAATGCATCAAAGGTTTCCAAAGTGGATGAAATTAAAACACAAATGCATATATCACTTTTCTTAATAGTGAAAGTGATAAAGTATTTAGTGTGACAAAATTAAAAAAAAAAAGTATTTCCATAAAGTAGAAATCCTGCGTTATTACGTAATACTCGATCAAACGGACAAGCAANATTTAAGATTTATATTATCAATTAATTTACTATAGAATTTTATTAAAAAAAAAAATACTTACAACCAAAAGTCCACCCCCGAAATTGCCTTAAATCTGCTAAGAATCTCATACCAGTTTTCATACAGGAGGAAGACACATTTATTTTTTCAGATATCTCCAACATGTAATGGAGACTGAATTGAGAGATATATTTTGCTAAATTTTCGAAACTATTTTCTATTTTATCTATTACCCGGATAATTTGATCAGTTTTTGAAATTTCAGTTCGATTCTCAGAAAATATATCTTCAGTTACACAATTTCTTACGAGTGCCATTAAAATTGAAAAGTAGAAAAATGGGATTAATTTTAGAAACATGTTTCCGGAGCAAAATTTCCTTTGCATTGATCGAAGATGAAAGACTGGAATGAGATAAATCATGCAAAAAGTTCTTATAAAACGATCGTTTTATTTGTGGTTTGTGGCATTGCTCAACAAGTGAGTAACTGCAACCGGATGAAAGGTAATTCCACGTTCTGATCCCTCGTCACTTACAAACATAATTATAATTATAAATACTATATTCTGATTTTTTTTAATGTAAAATTTCGATTTTTATCTTAGAATTCAAACTAAATTATGCTGGCTTTTATAAGATTTAAATCTTTCTGAAAACCCGTCGTAAAAAGAGCCGTTCTAATTCCATAAGAGCAATGTCTCAAGTTGAAATAACGTTCTTATAATTAATAGTTTTTAACCGTAAACTAAACCTACAGCATATTATATGCGGCATTCCATACGATAAAAATAGAAATTTTATAACAGTTATAAAAAATGGGTTGATAAATCGAAAGTTGTATGGAGGGGTCTTCTACAATCCAGATGAAATATATTTTAAAAGTTGTGCTCACATATTCGAACTGTCCTTCATACTATCTCGTTTAATTTATTTAAAAGAAATTAAATGAAAATGAGATCAATTGAATCATTAACAATTGAGTCATTAACAGAGTTCTGTGATGACTCAACCGTTACAACCTTGCTATAAATGATAACAATCTTGGCCGAGACGGTTAAAAAGTCAGCGTACTGTTCTAGAATCAAATTCAGACCATATTTTCAAGGTAGTATGTCTCCGATACTTGGGGCACTCCTCACCTTTATTGTAGGGCCGGTCGAACATATGTATGAAAAATAATGCCCACTTAGTGACTAAAAAATGCAAGTATATATCTATACTTGAACTATAACAATGGTTTTAGTGTTGGATGTAGAAGAGAGTGTCTCTCAAACCCTCCTCGATGATTCATTCCTGTATTTAATAAAATTAATTATGTATTTTATAATTTATTATTAATAAATACATTTTAAATCTTAAGTTATAACGTAGTTTATATATATTACGTCACCCTTTGAATGAGAAATGTATGAATGAAGNCTGTTTTTTTATAGGAATTGGATTACAAATTTCCTACTTATTACATTTTCATTTTAAAATTTGTTAATATTAACCCCCTACATATAAGAAATATCTATACTTGAAATTATTCAGTCTCTTTCAATCTCTATTCTTTATTCCATTGAAACATGTATGTTACAAGATCATGTTAACTAACTGCTAATATTAACATATTAACTAACTCTTAATATAATAGTTAATAGACCTAAATATTAACTAAATATTGAAAAAGTTCAATTTTTACAATAGATGGGGCTAATCTGTTGTACCAAGTTATGGATTTGCTAAAAGGATGTAAAATTACATTTATTTGGCAGAACGTGGGAAAAAATCCATTGTTTAAAAAAAATCTGTTGTTCTGCAATCCATTAAAATGAGATTCTACTACATTAAGATTTTTGCTAGTAATCAAATGATAGACCCAGATTATTTTTAGTCTAGAACACAGGTCACCAAACTTTTTTCACAACAGGCCAGATAGCTGAGAGAATGACGAGCGTAGGCGGCATAACTATTTTGTTCAGTACATGTTTGTACATAAAAAGTCCAGTCTTTTTTTTTATTTTTTTAACAGGCCTCATAAGAAAAACAAATAAATCATTACACCAAAAACAAAATGTAACAACTCCAATATCTCCTTTGTATAAAAATGACTGACACAGTTAAAAGCATACCCTGTAGGACTAGATATCCAAATAGTTAACTTGGCAGCCTACCTTTCAAGACGATCTAGGATTGAGTCTGGGTGGGTTGAAAACCCCAAGAATTTTTTGGGGACAATTCGTCCTCGATATTGGGGGTCCCATTTGTCACCACCCAGCTCTGCCCCATTATGGTCTGGTCAAACCCACCATGGGCTTGCTAAAAAATGTCTTCTTTACTGCTCAGGTAGAAAGAGTTTATATACATTGATGACATCTCAATAATTTACATAAAATTTTAGAATATTACTTTGCATTTACAAATAAATTTTAATTACACATAATCATTTATTTATTTATTAAAATCATTATTTATTGATAATTTTATGGATTGCAATTCAAAATTTACATATATGTTCATGTAAATTAGCTAGTGAGCTGAGAAACATTGAGGTTTAATTAATGAAATGACTCTTAATGTAAGAATAAGGGAAAGAAAAGATAAACAACACGACTAAATAAATATAAATAAAATTACTTATGCTACTTCACATTTAAATAAGTGAACAGTATTTTCACCTTTAGTCAATATTTAAGGGACGTTCAAATGAAGAATGTGGAACAGTTTTAAAACATAAACCATATACAGGTATCCCTCGTATAACATTACGATGTTATATGAGGGATACCTGTATATGGTTACTGTGCTATACGAAACAAAGTAATGCAAAACATAGGGTTACGTTCCAGAAGTTACCAAAAGTATACTATTATTTTTTTGTTACTAAGAGAAATATGTTTATTAAAGCAATCCATAACTTATTTCCATCAATAACTAATTAAAAATCACAATTAAATGTACTGTATTACATGTTAATATTAATTTTAGTTAAACCAAGGCATTTTCTTCACGGGGTGCTTGAATTTAAAAATATATATATATATATAATCATTTTGGTCTTTCCTTTAATGAAAACAATAAGCAGAAAAGTTATAGGATTACAGTTATCTTTTAAAAGCTGGAATTTCTTGGATAAAATTATACAAACACGCCTTTTGTACATTTCCAGCTTTAACTTTACATACAGAACAAACATTTTTTGCCTAATTTACAGGAATAATTTAAATGGTTCCAGTTTAGAACTCAATGTAGCTCTTTTACTTTTGAAACAGCTTCTAACTTGAAGCAGGCCTTTACAATTATAAATGCATAATTTCAAGATTTAAAGTATTATTATTGCTTAATAAATTATCCAGTGAATAATTGAAGACAAACTCTACAATTTAAACTATTCTGGGTAAACAAATAATAAAGTACTGGTTAAAACTGATGATGATAAATGTTAATGATTGTTATAATAATGGGCATTTGTTAAAGGCTGATAAAATAAGATAGCCTAAAAATGCTAATGATAACTTTGTTAATAAAACACTTATTTCAGTAATAAAGTTTTCTATGTTTTCAAACTTAATTCTCTTAATATGCATGATTAGATATAATTGCAGCTCTAAATGAGGTGGTTGAGATCTTATCAGAGCTGTGGACCATGTTCATGAGATTAAAAAGTCAAGGAATCAATGGTCCCCGTGTGAACCTCTGTAAGGTATATTCCCCGAAATCAGTCTGTTTGGAGTACTGAATACCTTTGAGGGTCTTCAAATGGGTAAAATTAAAAGGTGAAAAAATATGAAACTATTTCTCAAAACTCTGTTAAAAATCAACTGTTTTCCAGTTTTGCTGAGCTCATAAAACAGGAGAAATGCCATTGTACTGACTATTTCCAGGTTTCAATCATGCTTTAACAATCAGCCTAATTATCTTGAAAACTAGAGGCGAATATCCAGTTTTTAAGGACCAAGGGTCACAATTAGTGATATGAAGATGGTTGAAATTCCTCATTCAGAACTGCACTTAAACCAATGATTACAATAAATTCATTCTACTATAATTATTTATATTGATTGTGACCTAGCATCAATTTTTTTTATAATACATTTTTTAAATTTCTAATCTACAAGCAATATTCTTCCTGTTTATAAATTTATTATTTTCCTGGTTTTCCCATCCTGTCAACTTGANGGAGCTTGTGTCGTTGTTGTAGTCGTCGGAGCTTGTGTCGTTGTTGTAGTCGTCGGAGCTTGTGTCGTTGTAGTAGTCGTGGGCGCCTGTGTCGTTGTAGTGGTCGTGGGCGCCTGTGTTGTTGTAGTGGTCGTGGGCGCTTCTGTTGTAGTAGTGGTCGTGGGCGCTTCTGTTGTAGTAGTGGTCGTGGGCGCCTGTGTCGTTGTAGTAGTTGTTGGCGCTTGTGTCGTTGTTGTAGTCGTCGGAGCTTGTGTGGTTGTAGTCGTGGGCGCCTGTGTCGTTGTAGTAGTTGTTGGTAGTGGTCGTGGGCGCTTCTGTTGTAGTAGTGGTCGTGGGCGCCTGTGTCGTTGTAGTAGTTGTTGGCGCTTGTGTCGTTGTTGTAGTCGTCGGAGCTTGTGTGGTTGTAGTCGTGGGCGCCTGTGTCGTTGTAGTAGTTGTTGGAGCTTGTGTCGTAGGGGTAGTCGTCGGAGCTTGTGTGGTTGTTGTCGTGGGAGCCTGTGTTGTTGTAGTAGTCGTCGGAGCTTGTGTTGTTGTCGTGGTTGTGGGTACCTGTGTTGTAGTAGTAGTAGTCGTAGGCACTTCTGTTGTAGTAGTAGTTGTGGGCGCCTGTGTCGTTGTAGTAGTTGTTGGTGCTTCTGTGGTAGTAGTTGTCGGAATCTCTGTTGTAGTGGTTGTTGCTTTGGAAGTAGTTGTAGTTGGAAGTGCTGTAGTACTCGTAGTTGCATCTAAATAAATGGAGTATGTTCGTTAAATCTCATATGTACAAATTTACCAACTAAATAAAACTTAACTTTAATTAACAGAATATATTAATTACAAAACTCAGACATTTTAAAAAAACAACAACAAGACAACAAATAATAATTTCTTTGATATTCTAGCATTATTTACTCTACTTATTCCATATTAAAATTAACATCCTACAAACTAATATAAGTTGATCTAATTTAATCTAAAATATTAGACACATAAATTTATAAAATTAAAACTAGCTGGGTATCCGTCTTGACTGGGGGAAAATGATATATTTAGTAAAAGTAATATACTCATATAAAAATACGCATAAAAATGTATAATTGAGAAGGATTAAGCCATTTTCAAGTAATACACAAACAGATAAACAGTCAAATTAAAATTCGGAAGTAGCCTATATACTTCCCAGGACTATCCTGAATTTATGTACGAAGTTTTATACAAATCGGTTCAGCCGTTATTACGTAATACTCGATCAAACGGACAAGCAAAGACAGATGTGAATTCAATTATATACATGTATACCGGTGTATAGATTAATGTTAAAATGCCATTTTTGACTTAAAAAAATAGTAAATCAATACAGTTCTCTATAATTTAACATAAGTAGTACCATATCTTGTTGGCTATTACAAGTGAATCAATCCTTAATGGACAAAATTGAAAATCTTTCAAATAAACTTAATGTGTTGTACAGGAATGTACTTAGGAGCTTTAAAAGAGTGGGGTTTAGGTAGATTGTATAAAGCATAGGGAATCTTGGGTGGCTCCTGTTTAGCTGCTTAAACACACAAAAAAATTAATATTCAGTTTGGCACCTTCAATATTCGATGGTTATATTTATTCTGCCAATGGTAGGCCTTGGAAACTGAAGAATATTTCTTACCAGGATAAGTAATTTTAACTTTACAGTGTAGGATAGAAAAATACTTGCTTATTTTCAATATATTTCAAGTTAATCTTCTTACCTGTAGTAGTTGTTGTTGGTTGAACTGTTGTCGTCGTCGTAGTCGGCTTTGAAGTCGTTGTAGTCGTTGGTTCTTCTTGAAGCTTTTATTACAAAACAAATATTCTATTACTAAGCGTTATTTTTATAAATAAGAATAATAAGTCAGAATATACATACTCTATAATATTTTAATCCATCTTTAGAGAGGCAGTCTGGACATTTATCCGTATTTTGTAAAGACAACAGGATGCAATCAGCATCATTCGGATGATAAGCGAAACCGCTGCATTCGTCTTTGTCGCTACATTTAGCTGCACATTGGATTTTAGAACCAACTGAAGAGTTTTCTAAAGCATAAAACTCATCACTTTCTTTTACCAATTTATAAAGTACAGACTGAGATGAGATCCCATTAAACAGAAATATCATTTGAAAAATGATAAATCTGGCCATCTTCCTCTGAAGTCCTTCTACTTGTGAATTATGACTAAATGTTAAACATCGTATAATTAATTATCATCGATTGCCAACTTAATTACTTTTTATTCGGCACGCAAAATATTCATGAATATATAAGTTAGTTACTGAATAATTGAAATTAATAAAGTCACGAATTTAAAGTTTGTAAATTAAGCTTTCGTTTTTCAAAAATATGTCACTTTTACTGCTCATGCAGTCTTAACTGCAACAATAAATAAACTATAAATCTCCAAATTATTTAAATGTTATATTGGATTAGTTCGGGACAGGTCGAAAAAACCCCAGGAATTTCTGGATATTTCGAACACTGCCCATCACCATTCGGCCATTCCGTGCGGACCTGGCTAAATCTATAATAATCGTGCTAAAAAAAAGTCTTTTAGTGCCCACAAGGAACCAAGAGGGCCTTTAGAAAAGTTTAAAAAAACAACCCGACGTCCCAATGGTTAAATTCAACTCCGGCATGTACCGAAAAATGGAAGTAGTATCTTATCCCCATGCCCATTAAAATCTAATTTTAAATATTAGTTATCAATGATTGGCGATCTCAGCGTCATTAACTTCTGAATCGGCAGTCTCGTCGTTGATTTGCGAGATGTCGACTTTCTTTAATTAACACAGGAAGTATAGGGAGTTGGCCTTCTTCCTTCTTTAACATAAAAATTTAGAGATAAGGGGCATGTTCGGCAACCGAGTTATCGTACTGGACAAATATGAGTTGAAAATTTTGTTCGTGAACCGAATTGTTCGAAAAATGTGTCATACAAAAACATGTAATATATATTAATAATATAACAATTGTAAAATTTAAAATTATGTTAAAAAGTTTACAAAAAAAGTAACATTTTTTTTCAAATCGGTCATTTGTTCTAAACTTCCTCTCATCTGGCAACACTTTACCCGCACTAGAAGATTCGCACGTGTGGAGGCCATTTAGAGAATGGATCTGTCCTCCTCAGGGGACGTTGCGAGTGTAGAAGTTCGAGAAATTGGCGGTTCTAAGGTGAATTTTATCGTATCAATTCGCTTTTAATATCGTAATTTAAAAACACGCGTTACGAATTTAACCATCGCGTGATTATTTATTGTAAATATACGTTTCTAGCGCTTAGATTTCTTTTTTTCACCGCATGTTTTGAGAGTTTTAAGAATTATCTCTTTCGCTATCGTTAAAATAATTGAAATTTTATAAATCTTCGCTTTATTACCACGTAAATAACTCGAAATTATTAATTATATTCGCGTAATTTAATTAATAATCTCATGGATGTTGGCTTTCATTGATTATTTTTTCATTCAAATTGATTATTTTATGATGAATGTCGGAAATTTTGGATAAATTCTTGTCATTTTTCGCTAGATCTCGCATTACAGCAAATTATTCTCGGTATTTTTGCTAAAAATTATGTTTTTTCATGCTATAAAACGTTCTGATAAAGAGAGAATAAGATGAAGGCTCATTGATTTCTCAAGCATCTACTAAATTTCATTAATATCGAGCGAATTTTTTTCAGTGCATTTTAATGTCTGTATTTTTAATGTATTCTGCATCATCTATGTAGAAATTTCATTTTTAGTAAGAATACTCTTTGGTGAAATGAAATAAAACAGAAGAAGGAAAAAAAAAAACTTAAAGAAACTTAAAAAACTTAAAGAAGATTGCTAATAAAGAAATTTATCTCTAAATTATTTATTTTGTTTGTGAATTACGAAATTAAATATAAATTCAAAATTATGTTGAATTATTGATTCAGTTGTAAGGTTATATAAGTCAAATAAAACTTGCGCAAAATTATATTTTTAAGACTGCACCTGGAAATTCATTAAAAAGTAGGAAAATTCTCATCAATTAAATAACAGATTTCCCATTAAATATTTGTTACAGTTGCATTTTTATTTTATTTTCGCTTATATAGAATTTATTGTTATTTTTCTGATATAGATTAAAAATTTGTAAGTGTTTTTATTTAATTTTTTTAATTACAGTTGTCCCTTGATAATCCAACAGGTATGGGACCAAAGGTATGTCAGATTACCAAAAGTGTCCGGATTACCGAAAATAATTACATATTTCGCATTGTTTCGCTAGCAGTAACTTACAATATTCTCTACTCCAACTGTTCGAACAGAACTGCTCACATAAAACACACGAAATGTGTGTCATCGTGTAAAAATTGGATGGGGAAATTTACATCGTGACATGCTTCTGTGCAAGCAGACACGTAACGGGGACGTGTACCTTGACGGGAGGTGCGTCGGACTACTGAGCATGTCAGATTAAAAAACGTCGGACTATAGAGGGACAACTGTACTCAAATATTTGACCTGTGATTTGGTATTACTAACTTTTGACTTTGGTTTTGACCCATTTCCAAAAAGGTTTGCTGTTGCTTGCCTAGATGTTCCCTCATTCTTTTTACATGATAGTCATTGTTATATAAAAAAAATATGGCTCCAAGTTACGTAAAAATCAACATATGCCTAGGGTTGTGGAATGATTTCCTTGTCACATACTTCCTACATTTTATTGCTATTATCCATTTCCATACCTTGCTGCTAAATGCATCAAAGGTTTCCAAAGTGGATGAAATTAAAACACAAATGCATATATCACTTTTCTTAATAGTGAAAGTGATAAAGTATTTAGTGTGACAAAATTAAAAAAAAAAAGTATTTCCATAAAGTAGAAATCCTGTTTTTTTAAAGGAATTGGATTACAAATTTCCTACTTATTACATTTTCATTTTAAAATTTGTTAATATTAACCCCCTACATATAAGAAATATCTATACTTGAAATTATTCAGTCTCTTTCAATCTCTATTCTTTATTCCATTGAAACATGTATGTTACAAGATCATGTTAACTAACTGCTAATATTAACATATTAACTAACTCTTAATATAATAGTTAATAGACCTAAATATTAACTAAATATTGAAAAAGTTCAATTTTTACAATAGATGGGGCTAATCTGTTGTACCAAGTTATGGATTTGCTAAAAGGATGTAAAATTACATTTATTTGGCAGAACGTGGGAAAAAATCCATTGTTTAAAAAAAATCTGTTGTTCTGCAATCCATTAAAATGAGATTCTACTACATTAAGATTTTTGCTAGTAATCAAATGATAGACCCAGATTATTTTTAGTCTAGAACACAGGTCACCAAACTTTTTTCACAACAGGCCAGATAGCTGAGAGAATGACGAGCGTAGGCGGCATAACTATTTTGTTCAGTACATGTTTGTACATAAAAAGTCCAGTCTTTTTTTTTATTTTTTTAACAGGCCTCATAAGAAAAACAAATAAATCATTACACCAAAAACAAAATGTAACAACTCCAATATCTCCTTTGTATAAAAATGACTGACACAGTTAAAAGCCTACCCTGTAGGACTAGATATCCAAATAGTTAACTTGGCAGCCTACCTTTCAAGACGATCTAGGATTGAGTCTGGGTGGGTTGAAAACCCCAAGAATTTTTTGGGGACAATTCGTCCTCGATATTGGGGGTCCCATTTGTCACCACCCAGCTCTGCCCCATTGTGGTCTGGTCAAACCCACCATGGGCTTGCTAAAAAATGTCCTCTTTACTGCTCAGGTAGAAAGAGTTTATATACATTGATGACATCTCAATAATTTACATAAAATTTTAGAATATTACTTTGCATTTACAAATAAATTTTAATTACACATAATCATTTATTTATTTATTAAAATCATTATTTATTGATAATTTTATGGATTGCAATTCAAAATTTACATATATGTTCATGTAAATTAGCTAGTGAGCTGAGAAACATTGAGGTTTAATTAATGAAATGACTCTTAATGTAAGAATAAGGGAAAGAAAAGATAAACAACACGACTAAATAAATATAAATAAAATTACTTATGCTACTTCACATTTAAATAAGTGAACAGTATTTTCACCTTTAGTCAATATTTAAGGGACGTTCAAATGAAGAATGTGGAACAGTTTTAAAACATAAACCATATACAGGTATCCTTCGTATAACATTACGATGTTATATGAGGGATACCTGTATATGGTTACTGTGCTATACGAAACAAAGTAATGCAAAACATAGGGTTACGTTCCAGAAGTTACCAAAAGTATACTATTATTTTTTTGTTACTAAGAGAAATATGTTTATTAAAGCAATCCATAACTTATTTCCATCAATAACTAATTAAAAATCACAATTAAATGTACTGTATTACATGTTAATATTAATTTTAGTTAAACCAAGGCATTTTCTTCACGGGGTGCTTGAATTTAAAAATATATATATATATATAATCATTTTGGTCTTTCCTTTAATGAAAACAATAAGCAGAAAAGTTATAGGATTACAGTTATCTTTTAAAAGCTGGAATTTCTTGGATAAAATTATACAAACACGCCTTTTGTACATTTCCAGCTTTAACTTTACATACAGAACAAACATTTTTTGCCTAATTTACAGGAATAATTTAAATGGTTCCAGTTTAGAACTCAATGTAGCTCTTTTACTTTTGAAACAGCTTCTAACTTGAAGCAGGCCTTTACAATTATAAATGCATAATTTCAAGATTTAAAGTATTATTATTGCTTAATAAATTATCCAGTGAATAATTGAAGACAAACTCTACAATTTAAACTATTCTGGGTAAACAAATAATAAAGTACTGGTTAAAACTGATGATGATAAATGTTAATGATTGTTATAATAATGGGCATTTGTTAAAGGCTGATAAAATAAGATAGCCTAAAAATGCTAATGATAACTTTGTTAATAAAACACTTATTTCAGTAATAAAGTTTTCTATGTTTTCAAACTTAATTCTCTTAATATGCATGATTAGATATAATTGCAGCTCTAAATGAGGTGGTTGAGATCTTATCAGAGCTGTGGACCATGTTCATGAGATTAAAAAGTCAAGGAATCAATGGTCCCCGTGTGAACCTCTGTAAGGTATATTCCCCGAAATCAGTCTGTTTGGAGTACTGAATACCTTTGAGGGTCTTCAAATGGGTAAAATTAAAAGGTGAAAAAATATGAAACTATTTCTCAAAACTCTGTTAAAAATCAACTGTTTTCCAGTTTTGCTGAGCTCATAAAACAGGAGAAATGCCATTGTACTGACTATTTCCAGGTTTCAATCATGCTTTAACAATCAGCCTAATTATCTTGAAAACTAGAGGCGAATATCCAGTTTTTAAGGACCAAGGGTCACAATTAGTGATATGAAGATGGTTGAAATTCCTCATTCAGAACTGCACTTAAACCAATGATTACAATAAATTCATTCTACTATAATTATTTATATTGATTGTGACCTAGCATCAATTTTTTTTATAATACATTTTTTAAATTTCTAATCTACAAGCAATATTCTTCCTGTTTATAAATTTATTATTTTCCTGGTTTTCCCATCCTGTCAACTTGATACTATTTGAAGATGTTCTCTACAGTCTATGATTTTTTTTATACATTCATTTAATCAGTCCCTCCTATATAATAAACATGCTTAAATTTCTTTTTGCATGTAGCTCTTAGTCTTATTGTAAAAATGGCACTGAAACTTTCAGATATCCGATTTTCAAGAATACTTTTGTCTGTATTAATCAACTTCTTTACTTATTGATTAGGAGAACGAATAATACATTTGGAAAGGAGCCAGAACTTTCAAAGTTTGATGTATTTCTCCTTTACATTGTAATGTTGTAATTTAATGAACTATTTTTATAATTAAATAAGACTGTTTGTTCATATCCTTTATATACATCATTATCTTATAAACCTTATCTCTAAAATGAGTTTTAAAATGCTTCAGAATTAAAATTTTTAGTAACTTGCATCTTAACCTTAAACAGAAAATTGAAAGTTTAGAGTACATTTATAAACATTATGTAAAGTAATGGTCTATCCTGATGAAAGTCAACTACACTAAGGATAAAACTCTGACTTCAGCAGTGTCCTACAAATAAATGTCTGTTGTGAGGTGTACACTTTGTCATTTGTGGAACTATTTCATCAATTATGAACATTTTTATAGTTCTTTAAAATAATTTACAATTAAATGGGCTGAAACCCTTTTACAAAAATTTTTTACTATTGTATTTTTAAATAAATTCATAAAGTTGAAGAAGCTAAATGATTGCTTACCTAGTTAGTCATAAAGTAACAATTATTTAACTATATATTATGAAATTGGGGCTGAGGGCTCTTCTCGCTTTGTCTTGGATGGTTTTAGTTTAAAAAAATTAAGGAAACATGAAATCTCCATTCTTCATCAGCTCCTGATACCAGTTAAGAAATAACACATCTTAACTTGTGATAAAATCTGATTTAAACATTGATGAAAGGAGGATGTCACTCTCGGCAGTAGAGTAACCCATAACAAGAGAATAAATTAACATAAGGTCTTAAATGCAGTCAAAAATTAATTTTGATAAAAAGTAAACATTAAACACAAAACAAATACAATAACTCTCAATTCCCAGTAAGATAAATGAGAGAGAGTTTACAATTATATCTATGTATAATATTGGGTTGGCCCATAAGTTCTGGCTTTTTTTTTTTTTTCTAAGTTAAGGTTTTTATAAAAATAAACAAGAAATGAATAACAAATCAATCAATAATGTATTCTCTGTTATTGTTTACAATTTCTTCCCAACATTCAACAAATTGTTCAATGCCTTCACGGTATTGAGACTAAACCTGGTTGTGACTCGAAGAAATCATCCAGCCGTGTCTTCAATTCCATGTCATAATTGAACGAAATGCCACGCAATGCATTTGAGATAGATTGGAACAGATGAAAATCCAACGGCACCAAGTCGGGAGAATACAGAGGATGATGCAGCACTTCCCAGCCAGGCATTTGAATGGCTTCTTTGGTCATATTGGCAATATGAGGGTGGGCATTGTCATTTTGCAGAAGAATGCCATGTCGCCAATCAGGTCGTTTTTGCTGGATAGTTTAGTTGAGTCGTTGCATTTGTTGGACGTAAAGTTCCGCATTCAGTGTTTGGTTTCGAGCAAATAATTCATAATGGATCATGCTTTCCCAGTCCTACCATACGTACAACATTGTTTTGCTTGCAGTGTCGACCATTTGTCAGGGCTAAGCCATTCTTTGCACTGCTTCATATTGATGTACAGGCACCATTTTTCATCACCAATGACAATTTGGTAGAGGAATCGCTGCTTCTGTCCATGAGTTGACCAATGACAGGCAAGCAAACTGGTGTAGATCATGACTTGTTGATTTTTGTTATTGTCGTCGTTCAAAGCATGTGGAACCCACGTGTCCAACTTTTAAATTTTTTCCATTGAGTGAAGGTGGTGCTCTATGTCTATGGTACTGTGGGAGCATTCCATTATCTCTACCAGTTTCTTTGTGGTTTGGCATGGATCTTCGTGAATAAGCTAATTCAGTCGCTCCTCATCGAACTGAATGGAGCGTCTGGTGCAATATCTTTGAGGTCAAAATTGCTGTCTTTGAATTGCTCAAACCAATTTTGAGTCGTTCTAAAAGGCATTGCTACTTTGCCTTACACTTCACAAATCTCTTGTACGGCTACCGTGGCTTTGGCACCTCGATTAAACACAAAAACCAGAAGGTGTTGAAAATGCTCTTTTTTGTCAACTTGACACTCCATTTTATTGACCTGAAAAGAACAAAAAGTATATTGGTGTGAAATCTGCGAATTTAATGCAGTTGTTGGGAAAAAAATGTAAACAACTCCAATAGAAAAAAATTCTCCTTGTGAGAATTAGATCGGAGGTCATCGTTTGTGGTAACAATTAGATGGGAAAGTTGACACATAGGTGTCAAGAATGCACCGTTATTGTCAACATTTGACAATCGTGACTCCTTCCCCACGACAATCAAATAAAAGCTGAGCCCCGGAAGCTCAGGGCAATCTAAAGGAAGTTATACTTGTCAATGCGTGCATCTCGTCTCCCAGACCTCCATACAACGGACTCGAACGAACAGAAGGAGAAGATATCTGTAGAAGACAGACCACAGCTTCGAACTTCCATACTTATCACCATACTATAGTTCTATGCCGGACTACGATTCCTACCAACCATTTGATGCATACCAATTGTTTCGTCATAAAGGTATTTTTTTAGAGCATTGTGAACTGTCTCTCTTTCTCCAAGAATAGCTTAGCTGCTAAGAGCTGCCCCTTTGTATATTTATCTCATATTTAATCACATTTAACCAACTTTGTTAACCTTAGTTATTCAATAAATCCTTCATTTATTTGTTAAACTTGTCATCTGTCTTTGAAATGATGCCTGAAAGCTTGCTCACCTCCCTTGCAACTCAATAGAACGCCATCTGAAATGACAGCGTGAGCGGCCTTGCAGACTGTTGCAGAGTAAGTGGTCAGAAGGGCTTAACCCTTGGCCCATGGTATCTCACATCAGCATAAAAAACTAAATGCACTATTTTGTAGAGCATGTGGTTCTCTATCTAATAACATAAAAAGCATTGCCAAAACATTTTATTTTTCATGCAAAATTTTCACTTAAAAAGAATAGCAGGACTTGAGGACTAACCCAATACCTCTAGTCATGGTTTCGTGGATGTTTTTGACCAGTCTATAGAGCTTTGGGAGGACTATAGAACTTTCGAAAGGAGCACAGAGAGAAACTGTGAGGACTCTTGGAGGATGAGAGAACTCAACACTTGTAAAACTGAGTGTTTTGCCTTTTTATCCCTGAATCTCCTCCAGTTGGGAGTTATGAAGACACATCATATGATGGGATCCAAAAGGTGAGTTGCAGCACAAGATGTGTCAGCAATGTGTGAGATAATTAGCTTTATTATGGGAAATGATCTAATCTTAGCAAAAACAGAAAGAAGTTTTTACTTTCCTCATTACATGAATTTGAAAGTAAAGGTGAAAGTAACTATCCTTTTTAAACAAATAAATTCTCAACATCATTTAATAATTAAAATGAAAACCAAAATAAATCTCCTTTAAATGTGAGTAAAATTAGGTCAGATGGTCTCCAGGTTTTCACAATATAATATAACTAGATGATACAGCTCTTGTGTATTTTTTGGTAGGCAGCATATAGCTCGTATTGTGATACTATTCAGTCTCTACCTTTTAGTATAGCTTGCAGCCTCACCGAAAGGTATAGTTTGAAGAGAAGAGGAAGGAGAGGGAGGTGGGAAATGAGATTGAAGGAGTGGGATAGAGAAAGAAAGGAAGAATGAGAATCGCCTGTGTTTGTGCTCCAAGAATGTTTATTTAACCAAACAAAACTAAATACAAAATACAGTTGTCTCAAGCAGGGACAGAACAAAATAACTACATACAACAAAAGTGGAGCGTGCTATACAATATCTTACAGATGATACACTTGCAATGGAGAGTCTAATGGCGACTTTTGGTCCATGTTGCTGGTTCCTCCTGGGTTGGTGTCCTTGCTGGAGAGAGGGCCACTGCAGTTGTTATTCCTGGCAAGCATGATCTTGCTTATGTACTTGAGGAAGATCTTGTACGGGTTCTTCTCCTCAACAAGGGTGTTGGGCATGCAGAGCCATGAAATATTGTTTTTTAAGACAGCTGAGACTAGCTCCATTCTTTCATTTTCTAAATCCAGGCAGTCGAACAGGACATGCTCTGGAGTCTCTTCTTCTCGGAGGCAGTCTTCAGTCCCTACTGCTATAAAATAAAAACACCTGTGCTACATGTAGTTTTTAGCAGATTGAATTATGTGAGGAAGATAAACTCCATACAAACACACAACACATACAATGTTCATTTGATAAATAGTATACATTTTTTTGTTATGAGATTATATGGTGACTTCTTTCTGTGGAGTAGACTTGATAATACTGAGGGTCAATGGATGCATTTCCTGATAAAGCCACTTTAACACAGCTGGGTAAGCAAACAAATGACAGTCCATTTCAAATAAAACAAACTGTATTTTCTTTGCTTATTTGGCGATGTAAATTTTAAGATTGTATTAATTGCAATATCTAGCAAGGCAGTAACAAGCACAACTAACTCAGTGTGCTTATTATTGTCTTGCACTTAAGTATAAATTACAATATCAAGCTACTAATTAGTAATTAGCTAAATGATTTCTGACTTCTCTATCTTCAGAAACTCAATTTTTAAACTTTGTTGGTCTATTTTTTCTATAAAACATTGATAAGAGTTTAAAAACTTTAAAATATCTGAAAATATTTTGAAAATATAGAATTTTCTGAACTATACTTATTATTTTAGGGTAAAGGGCTGTTTGCCTTGCGTAAATTCAAAACAGGCGATGTTATATTTGAAGAAAAACCATTAGTATGTTGCCAATTTCTGTGGAATCAAGTTTATGGTTATCTTGCATGTGATTATTGTATGCGACCATTAGAAACTGCAGAAAAGAATGCTCGCAGGTTGACTGGAAATCAAGATATAACTGTGCCATATCCTCAATGCTGCATTGTGAAAGAAGAAAATCACGTTGATTGTCCATTTTGTGAGGTAAAGTTTAACTCTGGTAATGGTTTATTAATTAGAATGTATAATTAAAACTTTACATTTTAGATCACTTACTGTACTGACGAATGTCGAAGATTAGCTTGGGAACAGTATCATCAGAATCTCTGCCTTGGTTCGTCTGCAGGTGATCCAAATCATCCACTAGAGAAGCTCCAAGATGCATGGAGGTAATTTATCAATGTAATACTTATTATTTTTATGTTTTGATAAGTTTAAGTAATATTTTGTTTACGTAATAAAAAAAAACTTTATTAACCAACATCACTTTTTAATTTAAAAGTACTTGCTACTTTTTAAAATGCCATTCTTCACATTCAACAACAAAAATTAATCCTTTGTACTCTAATTGTTTTACTACTGAACAAGACTGTTAACCAGTGGTGCCCAAACTTTTCAATTGGTGGTTTAACTTGCACATAAGTCATGGGTAGATGGGCCAGAAATATCTTATACATATTAAAAGTAGACCTATTTTTATCACCTATAAGTGATGTTGCAAATATGTTTGCAGACTGGAAAATATGTGGCATAGCCAAATTTGGCCTGGGAATCCATAGTTTGGATACCAATGCTATAAGTTGTAAAACCACTGTTTGTTATTAGTGGCATACATAGTATATGTCACAACTCCACTGGCACTGTTACAGCTCATATATATTGTTTATAATTTGTGGGCGTACAGTACATTGGTGTCACTACAGCAACATGTCTACATAACAACCATGTATTTATTGTTGTGGCAGTGTTATATATATGTGGATGCCAGTGGTATGACAAGGTCATGCCTCTTTTTGTCGGCACCAGTTTGGTTGAAACTGCCCACTTGTCAGGGGATGTCTTGATGACAAATTTCGATCCCGGGGGGTTGGGATTCTTTTTGTCAGGTCGAGTGGAGGAGGTGCGGGAGGTCGTCAAAGAGGCGTAGGCTATATGCAAGTAAATGACATCATTTAACAATGGAAACAACGATTTATTAGATTAATGAAAATTAACGATTACAAACTCTAACATCGAGAGAAATTTTCTTGGTTCACTAAGTCCTAGCTCGTGGAGAGAGAGTTCACATTAAATGCTCTATACCTCTAGTATACTTCCACGAAGAAGAGAAAATTATTGCCCTTTTCGTTGTGATTGACACACAAAGTTATAAAATCTTCCATGATTTAATCCTTTCTGACCAGCCGTAGACTACCTGAGATGGGGGTAAGAAGTCACTTTTATAGCTGTGGGGTGGGGAAATTAGTCATGTGATTAACTATTGGGAGGTAAGGTTGGTCTTGCAGGTGTGGAGGTTAAAGTTGTTTCCGGGACCAAAACAAAATGACGAATTTGGACTTTAACTGTGAACTTTTTGTCTTGCAGCAGAAGAATGCCATTGTTCGAGGGTCAAATGTTTACATTAAAGAGGAGAGTTATAAGTTTCTGTCGATATTTGATTCCTTTTTTCCAACAATGTTATTTTAACTAGGAGGCGACAAATTTATTGCAAATATGTCGAAAGTTTACATGGAAAATGAAAACTTTTAGGTTTACACTTAGGTCGGATCTCACACATAATATCATTATTTTCTTATATCATCATTGTGGCACTGATGATGAATTGTCATGAAACTACAGAAAATGAGGATATGCCACAAGTGTGAGAACTTTGATTTTTATTCTTTTTCCAGCAATGATTTAATATAACAAATAAACATTTTTTGCTCCTTTTAAGGGTCTACCTCAGGTTTTTTACACAAATTCAAAAGATCAATATACTGCATATTTCAAAATGGGATGTTTGAATACACACATTACATTATTTAAACATACACTGTAACAAACAATCATACATATGGAATAGGTATGGAACTGAGCTAAATCACATAAAATAACACAATTTAAATAGAGTATAATAAAATAAAATATCCTAATGAAATTAACTTTAAAAACAGAAGCTTACAATATTACTGAGTTTACATTTAGTGGGAACTATTGAGCAGAGATTGTCAGGCCACTGAAAAGTTCTTTCTGCTCAATAATTTCTGGCCCGAAGCAGCCATTAGTAGAAGTTAGCATAGACAAAACAAACTGACTAAACCTGTTTGAATTTTAGTAGTGGGAGGAATCAAGTAGTAGTTAGATATGCATTCAGCCTCGCATGATAACTAGATTTAGCAAGAATTCTGTGATACTTGGTTCTGGTGTGTGTCTTAGCTGTTGGCAATTGATGCATTTTCCTTCAGTACTACATTTACAGAGAGTTAATCCTTATTAAACCTTCTATTTAACTTCTTCATTCCTCTACTGTACATAATTTTAAAATTTTTTCAAATTGTTAGATTGGGTGTGATAAACTCTTATGTAAGATAACCTTTGTAAATATAAATCAAATACTATAATATAATATAGTAGAAGGGTTGGAAGTATGAAATAATCTAATATTCTTAATCTTTGCTGTTGGTATTCTTTGCCCGAGCAATGCCGGGCTCATCTGCTAGTTAAATATAATTTAGCAGACTTGGCAAGTTTACTGACTGACTGTTTATGTAACCACCTTAAATTATTATTTTTTTATTATATTAAATAACCAGGGACCCTTTGGAACTCCAACTATATATAGTGGAATCCATCTTTTTAAAGAATATAAATGTTTAATAAAATTAATTTGTAAATTGTCATCTTTCCCTCTCCAGTCAAAGCCACAAATCTCGACTCATACAGCACTACTGACTGAATAAATGACTCGAATCATTTTAATTTATCTTTCCAGCATAACAATCTACCAAACACACATGCCTTGATAATCTTATCTGTTTCAATATTAACTTTTTACTTGTTAGAATTTGACATGGCCTCCTTGGGGAAATTTGGATTTAGCAAGGGTGTCGAGAATCAAAAGTTTGGGGAGCCACTGCTCTAACCTATGCCTGAATCAACGTTCATCATGTTATTAATCAATGTTTTATACAATAAACAAAATTCAAGCTTAAAAAAAATTTTTTTTGTTGTTAAACAGTATAAACATCAATCAGAGCCTAACTTTTTGACATGTTATAATCCTATATGGCAAAAAGATGGGATCTGCAAACACATCAAACCCCCACCGACAATGGACATGTGTTGGTTCCTAATTCATTTTTAATTTCTTTCTTAATTTGGCAACTGTTACATTCTTTAAATCCAGATTATTGTAAGCAGATCAAAACTTCCTCTTAGTTTCCACTATTTCATGCACTACCGGAAGTTAAGTACACGTAAAACTGCCACTAGTGCCACCAGTGATGAGATGTAAACTGTGCATACCCCATTTGATATTATCTTATTCAGAAATCTGTCTGTCATGGGTTAATCTTCTGTAAGTGAGTGGATTGGTGACACAAGTCACAACATAGACCTCTGTTGTAATTAACAACTGAAACTTGAAATCATGTTAACCTAAATCATGTATTCTGTGTGAACATTATCTTGACTTCTTGTTATTCCTGGTTAACTTTCATTCTGCGACTGTAGTATAAATGTTTGTAAATTTCTACTAGCTCTAGCATGTCAATCTGTAATTTTTAATTTGGTTTGATCCCATAATACTATTATGTTTTATATCAATTTAAAAAGGTCAATGCTCTAGCAGTTTTTTTGCTTAGTACTAGAGGCTGATATATAAGGTACTGACATTAAAAGCATTATTTGAATTCTGATGCAATGCATGAATATATTACTGGTTTGTGGCCAGCCACAATTTTTTCCATTACACTTCAACCTTTCATGCAGTGAAAAAGATTTGGAAATGATGCTTTGAGTTAAACTCCTTTATAAAACTAAAAATATCTGTCAGGTATTCAATTATATTAAATAACCCGGAGCCTGATAATATATACATAGCCAAACGATTGCCTAGAAATCTGCTATTTTTAATAAATAATACTAATTTGTGATTAATATCTTAAGTTCCTAATTAATTAAAAATAAAATTATATACAAAGAATATATAAGTAAATTCCTGTTTTCAATTTCAGAAACATACATTACCCACCAGAAACGGCCAGTATTATGCTTATTGCCAATATGATTGCCACAGTAAAACAAGTAAGAAATCTGTTGTAAAAGATTTTTTTATTTCTTCTCTTCTCTCAACTATGAAATGATTGCATTTTATATTGCTTGATCTCATTAAAGTCTGTGAAAATGTCTAATTATAAATCAACATAATTTATTTCCTGTGCACTCTATAATTTTGAAGCATTTAGAGCTTAAAGCAAATTAAGCTGTTTAAGCTCTAAAATAGCAAATAGCTTTTGCTATCTATCTGGACCTAAAACAAGCATTTGATTCAGTTCCTTATCTTAAGTATTCTTTTCAGAGTCTTGATTTTCAAATTTGTCTCAGACTACATCAGGGTTTTCTGATTTTCACCACTGTATAGCATATTTCGATCAGATTTTATATTGTTAACGATCTTTTTATCTCCTGAAAGTGTTTTTGGTTGTAGAACACTTAAATTTCCTGCCTTTCCTTTCAAAAATATTAATTAAATCTTAACTTGACACTAGCAATGGGATGATACCAAAATTTCTCCTAATTCTGATTCTGCTGAAAACTCCTGATATGATTAATTTTTTTGAATACAGTACTTTCTAGAGTTTATTTTAGTTTAGAAAAATTAATGATTTATGTTATGAGCATGGTATATTCATTAATTAATAAACATCAAGCTGAAGAATTGAAATTGATTGGGAAATCCAGAATCACTCTTAAGATAAATGAGATGATGCCTTTTTTTTTTTTTGTTCACGCTTCTTGCAATAGGCATGTCTTATAAATGATATAACTCCATTGTATTTAAAACTATCAATAAATGAGATTTGGCAAACAAGCCAAACAAATATTGTCACGAGTTAACCAATTTTTGAATTTATTCACTCAAGCCACGAATATCTGGATCAACTCATCTCGAAAAATCAATTTTTAAAACTCAAAACAGTATTAAACAGTGCAAACAAAAAGGTGTGTAAAAAAATTTGAGGGTTATAGAAGGGTTAATTTCACATCAAAAATTTAGTGTCATTTTTTGTTTTGAAGCATTCATTTTGAGTCATAAGCAATTTTAAAACTGTGACATTACTTCCTCTTTAGCGAAATGTCAACTGATATATGAAAATATTTGTTGATAATTGCATGTTTGTTTGATATTTGATAAACTTATTGTTTACAATTTTATTAGTTGGTTACTTGGATTTTGAGTCTTTTTTTGTAACAATACATGACCTAACTTTAAACATCTGCTTCAGGCTGGTATTAATTAAGTTCCACAATTTGCCAAAATTTTCATATTTGAAAATGTTTTTGGAATATAGAATGTTTTAAACATTTAAATGTTTAAAATTGCAGAAAATAAATAACAAATATCAAATTAACATGCAATTATCAACAGATATTTTCATACATCAGTTAGCGTTTCACTAAACAAGAAGTAATGTCACATTTTTAAAATTGGTTATGAGTCAAAATTAACTTCTCAAATTTTTTACATGCCTTTCTGTTACACCCTGTATGTATAGATTCAGAACACAGATTGCTGTCTGGAATCCTAAAGTCATCTTATCTTCCCCTAAAATGGGAACAGTTAGAGCAATGTTTTTACCCAGGCATTTCTCTTACATCGTTGTTTCTGTTCTGTTCAAGTTTAATCCCCTTTGCCACCTGGTGGACTTTTTAAACTTATCATCATCATCTATATTTCCAGTTTTTGTTTTGATTCAGGCAGTTGTGTATGCGCTTTGTTTATATTGTCTTGGTTATCTTGGTTCTTATAATAACACTATTATCACATACATACTACTATAAGGAGTGAAATTTACTTCCTTTATTTGAAACTTAACTTCTGTAAGTAGGCTTGCAGTATTTTTGTCTTCATTGTTCTAGTATTAATCCTACCACACTATACCATTATTTAAATATAAGAATTAGTCTTATGTTATCAGATCTACCTATATAAATTGAGTTATTTTGGTTACTTTTCAGGTTAAGTTTACATGTGTGCAGGTGAACCTTATCGACGATAAAATGCCTAAAAGAATGTCACAATTGTCACAAAATCTGTGTTGAGGGAGAAGTGGAAAGCTTACTATTTTTCAATTTACAGTACGTAAGCTACCTTAAAACTCGGACCCATCACTCCTTTCACTAATTTCATCTTCCCTACAAACTCCCAAATCCTTTTACCAATCTGGATCAAATTCCACATAGTTACTCTCTTGTACCCTGTGGTGAAACATGGACTAGCATAAAACTCAGATCTCTCACTCCTCTCTGTTTTCATCTCCCTACTTCTAAACTCCCAAACCTTTTATGGAATCTGGACAAATTTTGCATGGTTAGTCTTTAATCCTGCAAAAACTTAAATTATGCTACATTAAAACTTGGATTCTCACTCCGTCCCCTTGATTTCATCCCCACAAATTGCTAAACTCTTTGATTTGTAGCAAATTTTTCATAGTTACTCTCTGCCTTCCTGCAGGAAGTATACACTACCCTATAACAAGGACAGCTCAACCCCCTCCCTGAGTTCCCGGGCAGTGCTGGACATTCTTTGCTAGGTTTAATCTGTTTGTAAAGTTTACTTGATAGAATATCACATCTGACCTAATGACACGGAGGTTTCATGATTGCCACAAGGAGTAGTCATGACATCATAGATGTTTGTCAGCTATGTGTGATATAATGAACTGCAATCCTACAAGTTGTTATGACCTTCAACAATTTAAATGTTCTCATAGGTTTATTTTATGTCCAAAAAATACAGCAAAATCATTTTCTGGTCCTTCTGAAAATTATCTTGACCCTCCCATCATTTATTTCCAACTGAACTCATTTTATGTTAGCCCATGCTATTGCAAAGACTGAAGGACTCTCTATGGTAACCTGGTCAAGGACATTTTTCTGTAAACAAAAGAATATATCATAAACTGGATATTTGTATGACATTGATATTTTCCCATGCAGAGAAGACATGTTACAGGATTTTACTGAACAGCAATTAAGTGCATCATAATTACTATTGCCTTTTTAAAATGTGCAAGTTTTTGAAAGGGTTGGTAGAACTTTATTTTTTTTCAGGGCTGTGGAGTTTTGGTGTTTTAGCCGGAGTCGGCGTCATAAAAAATTCGCTGACTCCAACTCCTTTTTACTTACCAATTTGTTATGTATATAAAACGGAAAAAGTATTGGAATCATGTCAAATTTGACCCTCCAAGTTTTTTTTTTTTTTGCAAATCTACACATTTGGAGACCTCCCGAACCCCTCCAAAAACTCAAATAAAGGGGAAAAAATCCACGTGAGTGTGTATTGGCTTCTAATTTGTTTAATTTCTTTATTTTCTGTTCTGAGATATTAAACAATATGTCAGAATGGGTAAAGTTTAAGAAACGAAATGTGGCACTGTAGCTTGCGTATAAAGGAGCATTAATACTATTAAATTTTAGTTCTTAATTAAAGGTCTACAGGGTGAAGACATAAAAGTGGTGATGTGTCATATCTCTTAATGAATATTTCACTCATTATTAGCGTTCAAAATTTAAAAAAATAAAATAAAACTCGTCTTTACCCTCAAAGTAAGCTTTTTTGGCTTTTATAATAGTATAGTAAAACCTGTTAAGATGTTAGAATGTATATGGGGACATGATTTAGTTCAACCACTTTGACGCTAAATAACTAACTTCTGTGTTAAGTCATCTGACTCCTATTCTAACCACTCTGACCACAGAAATTATTAGGCTTCAAACAGGGTGAACAAAATCATGCCCCCCACACACAGTCTAACATCTACACATATAGAAAAATACCTTGAATCTTTTGCATATATCAAAATTTCAAGGTATCCTGAGTCCAAACATGTAAAAATTTGGGAGGGTCATTTTTTGACCAAGCGCTACACTTTTCCTCTGTTATATATAATAGCTGGAAAAGTTAAAATTATCGAATACATATTTATATAGACCTATTACTTAGAGAAGTCTTTTAGCTTTGGAATAAAACTATATTCCAAAGCTAAAACATGTTCTATCTTTATTAGAACTCTATTGAATCTTTTATTCTGAGGTCATGTGATGACATCAGAATTTCTGGGTCTCTATCAGTAACAAGTCCACCCTTGGTCGGAGTCGGTAGATTTTTACGCAGCTCCACAGCCCTGTTTTTTTTTTTTTTTTTTTTATATATATATTATTTAAAGCAGCAGTTTCCAGGTTTTTGAAAACTGCAGACTACCAAGGCAAAAGTAGTATTCATCAGGGAACACCTCAAATCCCCTGCTTCTGCATACGAAAAACAATTAATTTGTAATAGAGAAGATTTATTACATCTCATTCTTGCATGTATATGTAAAATAATTTACATATACATGCAAGAATGAGATGTAATAAATCTTCTCTATTACAAATTAATTGTTTTTCATTATGCATATTATTAAATTAATATAAAATTATGTTAAAAAAGATGGAAATAAAATTTAAAATAAATCAAAACTTAATGAGATTATTGCATTCGTTTCCTAGCTGTGGAATTCTTGGGTTCATACTGCTGTTCTAAACTATGCACAGTATCATCACTTGCATCCAATTGATTCCTCTGCTTGTTTTTAATCAAGAGTGGCTCAGAAAATTCCTCTTTGCACATAGTTATCAAAAATAGAACAAGATATTTCAAGACAGTTTCCTGAAACAGAATATGAAATCACCTTATTGAGCCAGAACAAAAAACACACTAAGATTTGTGTCATATTCAAAGAGTGCTGTGCAGTTGCTCTCATTTTGAAATTCAATAACTTCCTCCCTTGATTTTATTAGGAAGATTTCTGACTGACATTGGAAATGTTTTGCATCACTTTAGACTGCTTCTGTTTTGACTCTTGTCACATTTCTGGAATTAACAGGTAAATTTGTCTATGCGTTTGCAGGTGATGCACAACATTTTTAGATTTCTGCAGTGATGTAAGCATGATTCTCATCATCATCAATAGTTTTAGTGACTGAAATCTCAAGTAGTTCTTTCTCTTAATCTTAGCAACAAATATTTTAATTTTGCAAACAAACATGTGCAAAGTTGATCTTTAAATACTAACAAGGAGAGCCTACGGCTTTGGGGTAACGGATTTTGATGATCTTTGGTGTAGAGTACACCATATGAGTGTACTACCTGTAAAATACTAAAGTGCAATACTCAAATAAAATCGAGAAAAACGAACTTAAAGTTTTTGAGCACTTTATATATAAATTATACGTGCTTCCAGTTAAGCGTCCTGTGGCTGAGTGGTAACGATCCTGGTTCGTATGCTTGAGTTTCCGGGTTCGATTCTCGTGTACACTTTTTTTTTTTAAATTCATAAATACTTATAATGTATTTATTTATTTACCCATTCATTTATTTCTTATTATTTATTTATTTTAATTTAATTTCTACTATTCCAAGTCTAATATTTTTATACTTTTGTTGACAATAACGGCGCATTCTTGACACCTATGTGTCAACTTTCCCATCTAATTGTTATCACTAACGGTGACCGATCTAATTCTCACTAGGAGCGTTTTTTCTATCGGAGTTCTTTTTCACTCACTCTTTAACAGTTCGTTTCTAAATTTCGACACGAATAGACGTATTTGTGTAGTAAAACTTATTTTGAAAAATTATTTTATAATCAAAAAATGTCGTCAAGAGAAGCAAGTTCTTCACGTTGTGACGAAAAAACTGTTGATGATAACTCTTTATACAGTGATGTAAAATACTAACTTGTAAAGTGCAAAACTCAAATATAACCAAGAAAAACGAATATAATTTATTGAAGCAATATTATATAATTACATATCATTGTCAGATGTACATGATCGTGAATGATACTTATGATAAAAACATTCAAAACAAAAATTCTGTCTACACCAAGAACAACAAATAAATGCTGCTTTTTTAAAAGGTATCATCAACAGTTTTTTCGTCACAACGTGAAGAACTTGCTTCTCTTGACGACATTTTTCGATTATAAAATAATTTTTCAAAATAAGTTTTACTACACAAATACGTCTATTCGTGTCGAAATTTAGAAACGAACTGTTAAAGAGTGAGTGAAAAAGAACTCCGATAGAAAAAACGCTCCTAGTGAGAATTAGATCGGTCACCGTTAGTGATAACAATTAGATGGGAAAGTTGACACATAGGTGTCAAGAATGCGCCGTTATTGTCAACAAAAGTATAAAAATATTAGACTTGGAATAGTAGAAATTAAATTAAAATAAATAAATAATAAGAAATAAATGAATGGGTAAATAAATAAATACATTATAAGTATTTATGAATTTAAAAAAAAAAAGTGTACACGAGAATCGAACCCGGAAACTCAAGCATACGAACCAGGATCATTACCACTCAGCCACAGGACGCTTAACTGGAAGCACGTATAATTTATATATAAAGTGCTCAAAAACTTTAAGTTCGTTTTTCTCGATTTTATTTGAGTATTGCACTTTAGTATTTTACAGGTAGTACACTCATATGGTGTACTACCTCTACACCAAAGATCATCAAAATCCGTTACCCCAAAGCCGTAGGCTCTCCTTGTAAACTGTTTGTGATTTCTTCTGACTTCATTTCTGGAACCATGCAGATACAAATTTAGCTTGTTTAAATCAGCAAAAATGTCCAAGAAGCCAACTGTTGCATCTTGAATTTCAGATTATGAAACTGCTTCAACACATTATTCATTTTAATAAGATACTTCGACTGCTGTATAACATCAGGCTATAAATTGGCATAATAATTATAAATTACTGATAGATTTGACCTAGAGGGAGGCATTAGGTGTCATTTTATATTAAATTTAATTAAATAATTTTACATTAAACTGGAAGAAAAGAATCTATCTAGAGTGGGACTCAAACCCACTACTCCCACTTGCTATGCGGATGCATTGCCAACTACACTGCTCTCACCTTTGGTTCAATTGGAACATTACAATATAACCCTCGTTGGTTATTACAGTGCCAGCCTAGTGCCTTATGTGGAAGTTTACAGGACAAAGACAATTAATGTGTCCTTAGTTGGCACCATAATAACCAACAATAGTTATGTCATGTTAAATATACTGGAAGAGGAGATTGGACCAGTGGTCCAGGTTGAATAATTGGCAACTTGTCCACACAGCAAGTGGGAGTGGCAGGTTTGAGTCCTACTCTGGATTCTTTTCTTCTGGTTTAATCTAAATATATTCAATTAAATTATAATTATTAATTTAATACGAAATGATTCTTAATGCCTCCCTCTAGGATCAAATTTATTATTAATTTAAAATTATAATTGTGAATTTATAGCCTGATGTTATACAGCAGTTGAAGTAGTGTATATTTTCATTATTCATTTTTTTCCCTCAAACTCCTTTAGCTCATAGAATCATACAAACACATCTCGTTTTAAACCAACATATCTTGGTGTCAAAAAGTAATGTTAGAGTTCTTATCTGAATGTAATTTTTTGAAAACATTCACATTAAGTGGACACTTTTTGATGGCATTCATCACTCATAGGGCCAGTTTTCATGTCATGTCAAACAGTTCTTTTCTTTCCCCAATATTGCTAACCTTAGGCATGATCCTAGTCTAACAGGAACTCCATATAAAAACTGGCTAGATTTTTTCTCATGTTTCTCTAAATAATTACTGATTATTTTCATGACATTGGTAATTTCCTCTGATGTAATTTCCAGTTCTCACAGCTATAATGATTCTTTTTTCATTTCAAAAAGTTCAAAATATTAAGTGATAAATAAGGAAATAATCTACAATTACTTTTTTTTATGCATTAGGCCAAAGATAAAGCAGGCGCAGTGCATTTATTTTCACAGTTTTGCCATAAAACAGTTAATGAAGAAGAGGAAATAGCACACAGATTATTAGGAGGACAGTTTCAGGTAGTTTTTTTTTTTTTTGTTATTTTAAGTTTAAGCATTGGATTATTTCTCTTATTTATGTATTTATCCTCTAGATGCAGATAGAAACATTGAGAGAATTAACAGCCCGAGCTCTATACGAAGATTATTTGCATCATGTAAGTTGAAAGTATTGAACATTTAAAGTTTTGGGTTTTTACATCATATTTGAAGAACAATTTTAGAACATGAACATAAATGTTAATAGAATTAGTTTTCTCTTTTAATATGAATAGGTCAGTTTAAAAATCCTTCATAACTAGCACAAATGTGTTATTTCTATTTGATCAGTAGATCATTCTCAGGCACAAAAGTCCTACAATTTTGGAACTTTTACAAATGTTTTCAGCCATTTAAAACAGTTGTACAGTCGACCCCCCCCTACAAGATGGTAGATACATTCCGTTTTTATATGAAATTGATGTTTCAGGAGACCTTGCCAATCACAGCCCGACACGTGTGAAGTTTACAGACTACAGCTGTTTGAAAGGTTTTTTTCCATAAAATTAATCGATTCTAGACTAATTTGACTCACCATTTCCAAAACACGTATAATTTTTTGGGAATAATCTATGTAAACTATGCTATTAACAAAAAAGTGTAGGATTACTTACCGAGTGTGCACCATTCGACGATGCCATTGCTTAAGCTTGTTTTTGTCGCAGAGCAGCGCACCAAACGGTGGTTTTCAGTTATTTTTCTGCGAAAAATTCGTTGAACTTTGGAGACATCATTAATAGAAATAATTTTTATGGCCATTGAATAAGAAATGTTTCTTTCACAAGAAATGTATAAAATTAGTGCTGTATTAGACTTACGGTACCTAATTTACATACTGTACAGACGATAGTAAACTCAACTTACTCACCTAAACTCTCCGTAGCGTGGCTCTGGATGGTGGAAAGTATATATATAATTATAATAAAGTTACAATAAATTAAGTTAATATATAATTATATATACAGTACCTAATTTATATATAATTATATGTACAGACGAAACTAAACTCAATTTACCCGCCTAAATGTCCGTAGCGTGGCGCTACGGACGGTGGGAAAGTAGTTTGGCTGCCCGATGATGATTTACGTAATTATAGGAGTTTTTTTACCTTTTTTACAGATACCGTCACAATTTTTTTTTTTTTTTTTTTTTTAAGTTTTATAGGAATCGTAATTATAGGGGGGGCTACATTGTTGAATCAATTAGTGATGAGATCAAATCACATTGAATTGCATCCTCACACTCTCGAGAAACAAATGCTATTGTGCTTGTTCAGAATGACTCATAAGTTGTATTCTTTTGTACACGTTGCATAAATGTCTGAATTGCTGACATGTTTTGGGTGCACAAAATGTCGATGATGGTCACATTGTGTTAAAGATTAGGATTAGATAACTTACCTTTAAATTATTAACTGCATCTAAAATATTAACAAATATGCTGTACTGTAACATTAGTAAGAAGTAATGCAAGGAATTTAATACTTTCAATTACTTTGAGAAAAATCTCTTGTTCTTGCTACAATTTTCTATAGGTTTAGGTTTTCCTGGACTGGTGAGCCTAATAGTAATGTAAATGTGAGATTATCTTAAACTTTATTTAAGTAAAAGAGAATTTTTGCAACAAGAAATTACATGATGTAACAGTTAGCTAATTTAATCTAATACTTTTTAAGATTTGCACGTTAATATTGCCCATTTTGTCTATCTAGTGGTTTACTCCCGAAGGTTTTCGTTCCTTAATGGCCCTTGTGGGGACAAATAGTCAAGGAATAGGAACAAGGTTAGATTATTATTATTATTTAATATTACTGTTATTTCACAAATATTTATTTTAAAAAATTTTTAATAGTTCCATTAGCGCTTGGGTTAAAAATTGTGATTTGCTCGATTTGCCACCTGACGAAAGAGAGAAATTAGATAACTTTATCGACAAACTCTATGACGAAATGGAAAGAGGTACGTAATTAAGAATTTTACCATTGCAATGTTTTAATTTTAAAAAATTAACTAGGAATTTTCGACTAGAAACGGGACCATATTTGAATAACGAGGGATCTGGTTTATATCCTCTGCAAAGTTCATGTAAGTATATTTGCTATTTGCTATAATTTTTTAATTAATTATAAAATAATATCCAGAGATTGAGGAGAAATTAAGTTACTCTTTTCGATAAGAATTGTTATAGAAAACCTTGAAATTTAAACTGCTCTCTTTCTTGATGTAAAAACTATTTTTAGAGTGCATCCTATTTAGCAGCATCCAGCAACTGCAGGCATGAACACACTACCGAGCAGAACTGACAAACTAGTACAAGCAAATGTGCATTTTGGATTAATTGCATTTAGCATGCAGTAATACACGCATATGTACAAGCTGATGACACTTGTACATATGCGTGCAGGAAGCTGCTACTGAGTAAGTTTAATTGCCACTTACACTGCTCACACCACAAAAAAAAAAAGAAGTGTTGTATTGTCTTTTATTTTATGATACAAATGGTGAAATTATAAATATCATGTCTTTTGCCTGTAAGAAGTTTTGGTAATACAATATAGAAAAATATTTTCCATGGCAAGCATTCAAGGAAGTCATCTTGTCATTTTGTAAACAACAAATGTCTACTCTGGACAGTAGTTATTCACATACAAAGATTCTTTCCATTCATGGTTGCTGGACATTGCTACATGCTGTATTTTTGTGGAATGACCAGCATGACGGTCTATCCATGGAAGACCAAGAAATCAGTTATTCTGTATGGTAAAAACTGGCATGTCAGCTTATCACAGGGAATGCCAGCATTCCAGGGAATAAGTTGTGAGGTTATTACATCTCTCTCTAGAGGGTGCATTAAAAAAAAAGAACAAGTTTTTATTCTAAAACTGCAAAATTGTCAGCATTACATCAAAAACTACAATTATATGTTTAATTTCTTTATTGTTTCTTTCCAACCCGTAAAATACTCTTGGAATTCTGAAAGTGCTTTTTTTCATGTGTATTTTATTGTTATTCAATTCAAAAATGCAAAAATGAACATATTAAATTTAAGAAAACTTACTGTAAATTATCTCAGCTTACACCAATTAACATGGGCTTTGAGTGAAATTTGAGAGGAAGGTGTTAATGGTCAATGTAGCCCACACTGACTGACGGACTGACTTGCTGCTACCAATAAGTCATTAACTGTTTTATTGTCTTGTAAATGAAAACACTATTCCTGATTTTAAGTCAATAGCATTGTAATTTGACTATTTTATTGTATTCAGAAGAATATTTTCTTTAAAGTTTAATTAACAACTAGTTTTGTTAGATTGATTAATTTTACATTTTAGTTGCAGTTTAACTGGCATGCTAAAAACCTGGAGTTACCAGCATGCCAGTCTCCTGTTTTTGTGTGGCGTGCCAGTCATTCTGCAAAAATACAGTAGGATGTACCCTTAGAGAATTTGAATGCTTTCAGGCTTACATTTATTGTTGCAGTCAACAGAAACCTAATTAGGAGACAGTAGATTATTACTAAACATTACCTCAGATGAGCAAGCAGTTAAGATGGTGCCTTCCACTCTGGGGATCCAGGATTGAGCCTGGACAAGTCAGAAAACCCCAGGAATTTTTAGTGTAATATGTCCAGATATATCAAGCCCTGTCCCTTGCCACTCACCCACCTCATTATGAGTCTGTCTGAACCAATAATGGGCTTGCTAAAATAGTCTTCTTAGCACCTACAGGTTGGAAAGAGCTAAGAAAAGAAATCATCCCACATCATGACGTTTAAATAAATGGAAAGTTTATCTTTCTTCCTGTTTCCCAAATGTGAATTTAACTATGAACAAGAACCTTTTAGTTTTTTAATGTTTTTCTTTAAAGTCAGAAAAGAATATTTTTCAAAAATAATAATGATTGAAACTTCAATAGTTCAATTATTTTTACATGTCTAACTGCAAAATATACATTAATGATATTGTTTAGAATTATAATCTGAAAGAAATGATAAATGTATTGAATTCTCTTTCACAGAAGTGTGTCATTAATTAATTAATAGTATAATTTACATTTAAAAAGAATGTCTGCCCTAATATCTGTTGGCGTAATTGCTCTCAGATTTCGCTGGCAGACAAAAGTAAACTGCAGCAAATTAACTTTATTTTATTTCAATTGGTAAAAATTGAGATTAATTTAAAAGTTTGCTGCAATATTTTGTTTATATTATGATTGTAATTATCTTTACAGTCTGTTACAAAAGTATACAAACACCATAAATTTTGTGTTTTTTTAAAATATATTAGCATTATTTTAATTATTTTATCAGGTTTTTTACATTTCATAAAGCAGCGTAAATGTCTTTTTCACAAATATTCATTTTTTCATGTGTTACAAAAGTATAGGTACACCACTTAAAAGTCTCTTAAAAATTAATTTATCATAATAATAATTAAAATTAACACCACTAAAGTGAGGTGTCATAATTTTTAACTGTCGTAGTGACTTTTTTGAATGTTATATAAACATTTTCAACAATACAGTAGATCCCCCTATAAAAGCATTTCCTATAGTTATGATTCCTATAAAAATTGTGGCATTATCCGTAAACAACGGTAAAAATAACTCCTATAATACGTAAAACGTCATCGGGCAGCCGAACTACTTACCCGCCGTCCGTAGCGCCACGCTACGGAGAGATTTCTATCGTCTGGACAGTATTATATAAATTATATATAAATTAGGTACTGTACATATAATTATATATTAATTATATATAAATTAGGTACTGTATATATAATTATATATTAACTTAATTTATTGTAACTTTATTATAATTAAATATATATTTTTCGCCGTCTAGCGTCACGCTACGGCGAGTTAGGCGACCTATCGTCTGTTTAGTACTGTAATTTTATACATTTCTTGTGAAAGAAACATTTCTTATTTAACGGCCATAAAAATTATTTATATTAATGATGTCTCCAAAGGTCAACGAAGTTTTCGCAGAAAAATAATATCAGAAATCGCGGCCGCAATTTGATGCGCTGTTCCGCGACGAAACCAAGCTTTAGCAACGAGCGTAGTCAAAGGGTACACACTCGGTAAGTAATCCTACAATTTTTTGTTTATAACGTAGTTTATACGGATTATTTTAAAAAAAATATACGTATTTTGGAAATGTTGAGTCGAATTAGTCTAGAATCGATTAATTTTATGAAAGAAAACCTTTCAAACAGCCGTAGTCCGTAAACTATGATTCCTACAAAATTGATTCATAAAGAACGGAACGTATCTACCGTCTTATAGGGGGATCTACTGTACCTTGTGGAACTGTGTTTCAGGAGCAAGAAATATGAAAAATTTATTATTATTTGAGTGGTTCAGGCAAGTCTCTGAGGCAAATTGCTGCAGCTGTAAATAGACTTATGAATGCTATTCGAAATGTTTTGCAAGAAGATGAAAATTATGGGCAAAAAAGGGAAGTCGGAACGGCCTAAATGTTTAACATCCAGGAACGAGAGATTAGTTTTGAAGCTTATAACTAATAAAAACATGCCAACAAGGCAAGCTGCTGCTGAATTACAGTAGATGTATCTCATGTGACTGTTTGGAGAACTTTAAAAAAACAATGACAAATATTTAAAAGTGAAGTTGAAACCACCTATAACTGCCAAAAACAAATCAAATGTGTTTAAACTTGGCTAAAGACAAGATGGGATGGATGAAGAATGGCAAGAAATATTGTTTAGGGATGAGAAGTTTAATTTAGATGGCTCTGATTGGGTTTTCATATTATTGGCATGATTTAAAAAGAGAAAGCAGAGTTAAAATACACCAGCAACATGGGGATGGATCTGTAATGATTTGGTGTGGTTTTGGATGGGGAAGTAAAACTGGTTTAGTATTTGTTGACAAAAATATGGGGGATAAAATAGATTACCACCTATGAGTATATATCTGAAGTGAGGGGACCGAGACGAGTTCAACAATACCCTACTTTTGGACCAGAGACAAAAAATAAGAAATTTATCATACCTTTTTTCTGTCGATTGCGCAATGATCGGGAGTCACGTCGCTCTCTCTACTAAGCCTATTGCGTGTTTAACAGGCAATCTGGCAAGTCGGCCGTATATACCTTCAACAGAGGCAGATGTTGATCCACGAGCACACTGATTGTCTGCAGTTGGAGTTAAGTCCTTTTTGCACGCCCCCGCAATCCTCAACCTTGGGGCCTATGGCCCCTCAGACGCCGACACGCTTGCTATCACTCAAGATTGTCTAGTACAGTAGACCCCCATAACGCTTAGATACATTCCACGCTAATCGAATTTTACGTTGTAGGAATGATTAAATACATGAGCCAATCGCAGCCCGATAGGTGGGAACTTTGCGGACTAAGGCTGTTCGAAAGGTTTTCTTCTATAAAATTAACCGATTCTAGACTAATTCGACTCAACATTTCCAAAACACGTATAATTTTTTGGGAGTAATTCGTATAAACTATGCTATAAACAAAAAATTATAGGATTACTTACCGAGTGTGTACCGTTCAACTATGCCGTTGCTTAAAGCTGGTTTTCGTTGCAGAACAGCTCATGAAACGGTGGCCGCGATTTCTAATAACGAATTTTTCGCAGAAAAATAACTTGATGTTTGGAGACATCATTAATATAAATAATTTTTATGGCCGTTGAATAAGAAGTGTTTCTTTCACAAGAAATGTATAAAATTAGTGCTGTATTAGACTTACGGTACCTAATTTACATACTGTACAGACGATAATAAACTCAACTTACTAGCCTAAAATCTCCGTAGCGTGTTGCCAGGCGGCAGAAAGCATATATATAATTATAATAAAGTTACAATAAATTAAGTTAATATATAATTATATATACAGTACCTAATTTATATATAATTAATATATAATTATATGTACAGTACCTAATTTATATATAATTTATATATAATACTAAACAGACGATAGCAAACTCAATTTAGCCGCTCCGTAGCGTGGCGCAGGGTCGGAGGAAAGTAGTTCGGCTGCTCATCCACTATTGGTCCAGACTCTATCAATCTTGTCGCGAAACGACGTTATAGGAGGT